CACCATTTAGTGTTCAAAGCATCTCCTTTTTCAACTTTGTACCATACTTAAGCATGAAATTTGATAGTTATTTCCATCTTCAGGGCATTGGACCACTACAATTAGTCATCTATACAGTGGGGGGAACAAGTATTTGATACACTGTTGATTTTTCAGGTTTTCCCACTTGCAAAGCTTGTAGAAGACTGTAATTTTTATCATAGATACTCTTCAACTGTGAGTGATGGAATCTAAAACAAAATTCCAGAAAAATGTAATGTATGATTTTTAAATAATTAATTTCCATTTTATTATGTGAAATAAGTATTTGATACACCAGAACAATGAAACCTAATATTTGTAACAGAAACCTTTGTTTGCAATTACAGAGATCAGACGTTTCCTGTAGTTCTTGACCTGGTTTGCACACACTGCAGCAGGGATTTTGGCCCACTCCTCCATACAGATCTCCTCCAGAGCCTTCAGGTTTCGGGGCTTTTGCTGGGCCACACGGACTTAAAGCTCCCTCCAAAGATTTTCTATTGGATTCAGGTCTGGAGACTGGCTAGGCCACTCTTGGACCTTAAGATGTTTCCTACGGAGCCACTCTTTAGTTGCCCTGGCTGTGTGTTTTGGGTCGTTATCATGCTGGAAGACCCAGCCACGACCCATCTTAAGTGCTCTTACTGAGGGAAGGAGGTTATTGGCCAAAATCTCACGATACATGGCCCCATCCATCCTTCCCACAACATGGTGCAGTCATCCTGTCCCCTTTACAGAAAAGCATCCCCAAAGAATGATGTTTCCACCGCCATGCTTCACGGTTGGGATGGTGTTCTTGGGGTTGTACCATCATTCTTCTTCCTCCAAACATGACGAGTGGAGTTTAAACCAAAAAGTTGTATTTTTGTCTCATCAGACCATATGACCTTCTCCCATTCCTCCTCTGGATCATTCAGATGGTCATTTGCAAACATCAGACAGGCTTTGACATGCGTTGGCTTGAGGAAGGGCACCTTGCGTGCACTGCAGGATTTTAATCCTTGATGGCGTAGAGTGTTACTGATTGTTTTCTTTGAGACTGTGGTCCCAGCTCTATTCAGGTCATTGACCAGGTCCTGCCGTGTAGTTCTGGGCTCATTCCTCACCTTCCTCAAGATCAATGATGCTCCACGAGGTGAGATCTTGCATGGCGCCCCAGACCGAGGGAGATTATCCGTTAATTTGTATTTCTTCCATTTTGTAATAATTGCACCAACTGTTGTTGCCTTCTCACCAAGCTGCTTGCCTATTGTCCTGTAGCCCATCCCAGCCTTGTGCAGGTCTACAATTTTATCCCTGATGTCCTTACACAGCTCTCTGGTCTTGGGCATTGTGGAGATGCTGGAGTGTGATTGATTGAGTGTGTGGACAGGTGTCTTTTATACAGGTAACGAGTTCAAACAGGTGCAGTTAATACAGGTAATGAATGGAGAACAGGAGGGCTTCTTAAAGAAGAACTAATATGACTGTGAGAGCCAAAATTCTTACTGGTTGATAGATGATCAAATACTTATTTCACACAATAAAATAGAAATTAATTATTTAAAAATCATACATTGTATTTTTCTGGATTTTTGTTTTAGATTCCATTACTCACATTTGAAGAGTACCTATGATAAAAATTACAGTCTTCTACAAGCTTTGCAAGTGGGAAAACCTGAAAAATCAACAGTGTATCAAATACTTGTTCTCCCCCCTGTAGGTGATTTTCCAAAAGCAGAAAGCAGCCCTTTGCTGGTTAAAAATAGTCATCCATAGATCAGGCTTTCCCATATTAAATCTGTTAGAAGGGAAAAAAAAAGAGTGGTAAAATTAGTCTGCCTGTCATGATGGGTCTAAGGTTCCTAGCCCACATGCAGAACACAACGGAGGCTGGGTAAACAGAGTTTATTGAGAGATACACTTAAACACAAGATCAGGAACTGGTCCGGGCTGGTTCACTGAAGTCTGCAGAGATGATAGTTTGATTAGGAAGCAGGCTGATGAGTTATGAGTCTTTGATAATTCAAGAGTATACCTTGATAGAGTCCGGGCTTCTCTTTGAGAGAGAGAGGGAACCGTTGGGTCCAGAGACTGTTTGTTCAGCAGAGTCCAAGAGCAGCTGCAGCGTCTTGCTTCTGACTTTAATGGCAGACCTTGATCAGAGTTCCGGCTCTTAACTAAGAGCAGCAGGGGAAATCCACATGGGAATCTTCAGGTTTGGCTCACTAGGGCAATCTCGGCAGGTTAAGCTCATCCAGAGCTTCAGGTTAGAGACAGGTTTCCTGTGAGGCAAAAACAAGGGAGAGTTAGAATCAGATCTCTCTCAAGAGACAGCTAAGATTCTTCAGGTTCAGGCTCAGGTCGCTAACCAAACTAGGTCAACACTGTGGCTTCGAAGCAAGGTCTGGCAGCTGGTTATAAAGGGAAGGTCTCTTGATGAGTAGATGCGTCTCAGGTGTGCTGGAAGACTCCAGCTCCAGAAGACCCACGGCGCATTCTGCTGGAGGAAGGTGGTACAGCTCCAGATCCCAACACTGCCGAACTCTTATATTTTCAGCCATAAGATAAGATATCACCTGTTTCACATGTGGACTGAAAAACAATGTGATACCAATTATCCCCACCATTCAACATATCAGGGAGATTTTAGGGCTTAAATATAAAGGTTACTTTACTAGCAAAGAGGGCGCAATGGCAGGTTAAACTGACAGCTTTAATTTGAGTTTAAAAAAAAAGAGATACAAATAGGAATTCATATGTAGGGTTACTTACTTTTGGGAATTTGTCTAGCAGGGAATAAAGAAATTAGGAGTCAATAACCCATAAAATGTAGTTCCCAACTAATTCTAAAGCCTTGGTTGAAGATGCTGTGAAAAAATAAAGTTAGAAATTTTAAAATTTGGATTAAATAATATTGAAGGAAAGGAGGTAAGAATAGGAAAAACTGAAAAGGATTAATTTAAATAAGAATGATGATAACTTATAAAAATGAGAGACAGGCATATTCAGGGGTGGGTAAATGAGATTTTGTAAGATGAGAAGAGACAGATATTAGTGGTGAGAGATGAAGGAGGTGGATAAGGGTTAAAGATTATAGATAAGTGGAATTATCGAGATGAAAAATATGCTATGAAAGGATGACAGATGGATTAAATGAGGGAAATCAAACGAGTGATGAAAAAGATGTGTTGTGTGCATAGCGTATAAGAAACCAGGGATAGATATGATAAATGAACCCAGAATAGATAGATATGGATGGCAAATTTAATGAGAAAGATATAGTGGGATGAGAAGAATTAGAGTTTAAGAGGAAAGATGATGAGTTTTTTAGGTGATATACTTAGGATGAGAAGATGTATGGAGGATGAAGTAAGAAGAAAGATGGAGAATGTAGAGGATGAGTGGAATAAGAGAAATGACAAAGGAGGTTTAAGGAAGATGTGTGGAGATGAGAAAGTGTTAAGATTTTGGAATAAGTAAGACAAATGAGCTGAAGAGGAAACTGATCTTAGGATTCAATTCCCAGTAAAGGAAACTGTGTTGTAATGAATACAGTAGGTCGGAGTTAGGAATGAGAGTAAAGGATGAGTGAGATGAGAAGAGGTAGGTTTGAAAGGATGAAGGATACTTGGATAAAAATACATATGGATAATAGATTAGGACACTAAGTTGATACAAAAACTTGAGTGGGAAGAAAAGCATAAAGTGCATGAATAAGGGCTGAGGGGAATGAGAGGAAAACAACAAGGTTTTGTGGGAGTTTATGAAGAAATGAGCATTTAAAGAATAAACTGAATGGCATTTGGGAGAAATGAAAGTTAAAGAAGAGAAGGTGCATCATTGGCAAACTGCCAGTTACAAGAAGGCTTTCAAGATCAGAGATCTTCGGGTCTGATCCAAACCCAACAATATGGCGAGTTTGTTTTCCTTTCGGGTTCCTTGCTTCACGAAAAAACAAATTTCAGATTCAGGTTATGTTAAAAGAAAGTTCAACACTCCCACCCTAAGAATATGCTGTAAGTTGGAGTGCACATACACACCGCATTGGTTCCCTGAAGATGGGTTCAAATAGAGTTTACAGTGCACTAGTGCTTGAAAATAAAATAAATTGGCTGAGAAAGTAGAAAGCTGGCACCATGTCTGCAATCATCATCTATTATGTTTTACTTCAACCCCTTGGAAGGAGGGATCGTAAATATGATTGTAATATCTGTATTGGGGTTCTCTAGGTCGTTCTGTTTGATAAGGTTTTGCTTTGATTAGATTTGACTTTTTTTTCCATCGCTGTAAAAACAAAATGAGGTATTATGTAATTCTTTAGTGTAATGAGATATCATAGCAGGAGATCTTATGATATTAAAATGTCACAATATCTCAAATCAGGGTGAATCTGTTGTTGTGAACTAGTAGTATGTGAAAAAGAAAGATACGTAAAAGGGTTTTGACATTTCTCCCCTTTTTGTTTTGAGAAATATGGGATTTCCCGTTCTGCATAGTAAAATCATCATGACACCGAAGAATTTCTTGGCCAGCCAAATTTAAAACTCAATAATTATCTTTCCTTCAACTGAGTAATCACATATTTAACATAAGGGACCATGTAGCTGATCACCAAAGCTCGAATCATTACAGTGGAAGGCTTTCCAAGTGTGTTTTAATAGTTTGTGTTTGTCATTTTTCCATTTCAACAGAGCAATATTTCTCTGATTCTGCAGATGTAAGATAACTGCATTGTTAGAAAGAGCAACAATTACATTTTTCATTGATGGAAAAAAAATATGAGTCTTCCGAATTTCATAAAAGATCTGTTTGCAAATTTTTTTTATTTCTGCTAAGATATGCAAACACATTTGAAATATAATCTGATTATGATTCAGGCCTCTTTTTCAAGTGAGTATATGTGGATGTGTTGTGCACAAAAAATGTTTTTTTTTTTTTTTTTATGCTTAAAAGGGGTTTATCTATTCAGATCTTTTTCCTTTTTGTTTCTCTTTAAGAAAAAGAATCTGAGTATTTTGTTGAGCCTCTGCTCACTGGCCTGCTGGGGAGTGATTCTGCTGTCCGCCCGCCTCTACTGGATGGGAAACAAGCCTCCAAACTTCTCCAACTCTGACAACCCAACAGCTGATTCCCCTGATTTTCTCACACGGACACTAACATTCTTCTACTTGCCTGCTGCCAATGCCTGGCTCCTACTCTGCCCCGACAAGCTCAGCTTTGACTGGTCCATGGACGCCGTACCCTTGGTCAGGTACTTGGCCGACTGGAGGAACCTTCACACGGTTGCCTTTTATTGCGGATTGATTCTCTTGGCTTTGTCTAGCCTTCGAGGTTCTGGTTTTGCAACAAGGGAAACCAACGGGAAAGCCCATATAACAAATGGAAAATCTGTCACCAATGGGAATGGTTACCATGCCCCTGATACAAACCAAAACACAGACCTGGGGTTGCCAAGGCCCACTTTGAATGGATGTGCTGTACCTTACCACTGTTACTCACAGACATCTCTGCCTCCCACAGAAAGCTTAGTTGTGTTTTCCTTGAGCATCTTGGCATTGCCCTTTATCCCAGCCACCAACTTATTCTTTTATGTGGGTTTTGTAATCGCAGAAAGGGTACTCTACATCCCCAGTATAGGGTATTGCATACTTGTTGCAACAGGTGCACGTACCCTGTATGTCAGACTGAGGACTAGAGCCTGTAAGTTTATAATGTTGTCTCTTTGCATTGGACTTGTTCTTCTAAATGGGCTAAAAACAGTTCAAAGAAATAAAGACTGGAGCAATGAAGAAAATCTCTATAAGTCCGGGATCCAGGTCAACCCTGCAAAAGGTAAGAAGATAATCAGTTATCATGAGGACATCTCTCTAGTCTGTTAAATTAACCTGGCTGAAGTGCCTTATAAACTTTGTTTAAACCTTTCACCATTGTTCCATTAAAATCACAATTCTATTTGAATTGTATTTGGTGGTGGTGCCTAATTTTAAAGGAGAAGCAAAATGTACATAGTTTTCTGTATTTCTATACATTTTTTTCTCTTTTGTAGAATATGTCTCTTCCAGCTCTTGACATCCAAATAATTTCTGTAGATAGATCTTCTGCCCAATAATCTTTGCAAAATAGCTCAAGCTCAGATAAGCTCAGATAGGTTTAACACATTCCAATGTTCACACAATACAGTATGAGCAAAAATCATTTTATTACGCATTTAATAGTAAGGAATGTTAGAAAAGACCTGATCAGCTACTCAAACAGAACGATAGCCAACAACAATAGCAATGAGAACAAACCCTTTTTTTTTTACTTAACAATGGGTTACACACATTTTAAACTGTTATCAGCATACTGATAGAAACATTCTGCTTCTGAACTTTAACATGCAAGCCGATATACTCCGACATTCATTTTTTGGCAGTTGGGTGATGATGAGCTTGTTGCTGAACAGAACAGAAGTACTTATATTTATAGTGGCTTTACTGTAGCCAATCTTTCATAAAGGCCAAATTTATGGGGTACCAATTATTACACAAAAAAATTGAAATCTAAATGTCATTTTTTCTTAAAAGCTGTGCATTTGTTCTTGAATTGAGGTCAGTAAGACACTTTTCCAATGAAACAAGACAATTTACATTTGAAATAAAAAAAAACAACTTAAAAATGTAATTGTATTATTTCATGTGCATATTATATAATTATCTTATTTTAAGAGAACAAATAATAATTCCATTGGCAGATCATCTTTTTTACCTAATGAAATTAAGGGTATATTTACTTAAATTAAGAAATGGTGACTTATTTCTAGATCGTTTTTGCAGTGTATCACTGGGAGCATTAAACCTTAATAAAAATCCTCCTTATCCATTTTAGCAGCTTAGGTCAGTTTTTCCCCAACCTTTTTTGACTTGACGTACCAATATCGGAAATTTGTCTTACATGAGTTCCCCCCTCTCAGCCAAAAGAATTGATGATTGTCCAAAAGTGGAATGTACAATAACTAATTATGAAATAAAAAACAACGTAAAAATATTGACTATTAAGGAATCAAAATAAATACAAAATAAAATCATATAAATCATAAAGCCAATAAAACTGAATCTCCTCTGAGTAACTCCCTCACATTTAAACTTGAAAAACTAGGAACAAAATATTGAAGAAAAATTATGGTCAGACTGACCTAATTAGCTTTACTTTGTCTTCATTAAGACAACTGAGCTTGTTTGATGAGCTCCGATAGATCAGTGTGAAAAAAGAGCAGAACAGAGCTATTCTCTACACCCAGTCTGTTCCTCTGCCTGGTTTTGATGTGTGTCATAGATAAAGGTGAAGTCAAACATACAAGAAAAACTTTCTTTTTTGGTTGATTAAAGCTTGTTTATTTTTCAAATTGGTCCTCACAAAGCAAAACAGATCCCAGCCCTCTTTTATTTTACTACCTAGGAAATAAAATATTTTCATATACCCCATTGCAATGCACTCGTACAACACCAGGGGTGCGCTTAAGCCCGGTATGGAATCATTAGTTTAGAGGGATGGTCATGTGATGAGATGTTTGCATTAGTTCAGTTCTCTTTCCGTTTTCTAGTAATTAGGCATAGGGCATCAGATGACAACTGGTTGCTCAGAACTGTATTCAGTTCAATCAGATTAAAGAGGGTTGGTTATATAAAGCATATAAAATTTTTCTTAGCAATAAAAAAATAAAACATGTATGTTTCTTTCTACTTAATGTGCTACTTTGTGTTTTTTCTATCATATAAGTGTGTTTTTCTACTATTTAAGTGTTGATTGTCTCCATTAGCCTGGGGAAACCTAGGTAATGTACTGAAGAACCAGGGCAAAATGGCAGAGGCGGAGAAGGCATACCGAAATGCTCTTCACTACCGAGGGAACATGGCTGATATGCTGTATAACCTGTGAGTGTTAGCAAAATGTCACACCTACATTCTTTGTAGAAGGGGTCATATTCGTTCATGCCACCACATGAGAAAATAGAAGTGATATACCAAAAGATTCAAAGTAGATTAAAATATAACAAGAATTTACGGGCTGCAATCTGAAATAGATTAAGCGCAGCAGAAATAAAGCTTGTGAGAGAGAGCAAAAGTGTCACAGCTACGGATTTACTTTGTGTTTCCCTAAAGACTCTTTATACCTTCTGCTCATGATTTGATCAGTCGTGTTTGCAGAGCCTGTCGGAGAACAGAAAACAATTTCTAATCTGGAAGGGTGTCAAAGGTGCTATGCTCCCCCAAATGGATCCACGTTCTTTTAAACCCTCACATCTCGTCTTATTTCATAGGCGTCAGTAAGCTCACAAATCATTACAGGGAGAGGGGAGAAGAAAATCTGGCAGGTCATTCTTAAAGGTAGAGAAGCTCTTTTAGCATGATAAATGTTAGGATACATTGGACTGTTACAGTGTTTGAAAGGATTTCTTCTTCTAAAATGATACCTATCAAATATAGAATCTGATAATGAGTTTGCCATAACATTAAAGGTTAACACTTTTCTCCTTTTCATCTCAGGGGTTTGCTGCTGCAGGAGAATGAACGTTTTTCTGAGGCACTGCATTATTACAAGCTTGCTATTTCAAGTCGACCAACTTTGGCATGTAAGCATTCCGTCTTGTATTTGTTTGCTGAATAATATTGTAAAAGCATATAAGGAAAGTACTATCAGCAAAGATTCTCCTCCTTCCCTCTTGGTTTGGACTTGTCTGGTTACATTACACACAACTGTCCTTCTTGGACTGTCGTAATGCTGCAGTTTTCATGCTGAACTGGATGCTGCGTGACTGCACTACTATTTAAAATAACCTCATTCAGCTTGACGGTAAAATGATAACATTCAATCTCACACTCGAGTGCTCACATGTGAGATGATCGTTTGTCTTTCACTCTTCCAAGGGCAATTTTATATAGAAGGAAAAGTGTCCCTTCTCAATGTTCAGTGTGATTAATTGACTTTTAATCCTTCTGAGCTTTATCTCTTCAAGGTAAATGTATTTTTTATTCCCCCCTTGCCTGTATTTATTTAATCTCCCTTTGACCTTTTGCTTTCCTCCATTTGGTCATATCATCACCTATGTATGGTTTCCCCTGATACTCTACTTACTGACTTTGTAGACATTAAAGCCTTTTGAAAAACATTTTTTTCTATTACGTATAGTTTCACTTTGACTCTGAGAAAGGTGCTGTATACATGAACTTTGTAGTCTACACATCTTTTTTTTCCCTCCTTAATAAGATGTTTGTGTCAAAATTAAGGCATGCTTTATTTTAAAAAACACGTTTTTCAAGTCTTGTTTGTGTCTACCAATTGATTTTAAAGAATGCCGTTGTGATTTGTTTCAGAATTTTTTTCATTAACCCAAACCTATTTTCTCTTGACTTTTACTCATAGCTGCTTACCTGAACACAGGAATAATCCTCATGAACCAGGGTAACTTGGAAGAGGCCAAGCGTACCTTCCTCACTTGTGCTGACATCCCGGATGAAAAGCTAAAGGATCCTCATGCCCACAAGAGCTCAGTCACCAGCTGTCTTTACAACCTGGGCAAGCTGCTTCATGAGAATGGACAGCAAGAGGTGGGTAGATTTTTGGAGATGGTAACAAGGTCCTATTTCAAGAGCTTGTTAAACATTTTACTTTAGGTGCATTTTATAGATGCAAATAGACAAAGCAAAATGTTAGGCTTTTTTGAAACCATAACCACAAACCTTAATGTATTTAAATCGGATTTGATATGCAGTTAGAGAAACACAAAGCAAGTGGAAGGAAGATTATGGAAGTTTTAAAACTTTTTTTGTCCTGATACCACTAAATAAAAAAGTAAGCGCATGTGAAGTTTGTTTGAAAATAAACAAAATCATGAAGAATGAGCAATATAACAAAGAGTTCTGAGATGAATTTGTGGGGAAGTTTGTAGTAGGACTGGGGTAAAAAAAAACTATATCCTAGGCTGAGTGTTTCATAGAGTATGTCATGTTTGGTTTGACATGTCTAACCCACATGCAGAACACTCGGAGGCAGGAGAAAAGTTCAAAGGTTTATTAAGAAGATTTGTACACAATAAAGGACTGATCCAGAGGGGAACTCGTCTGGTCACGAGTGGGTTCTGAAAGGCACACAGATAAATCAGATCCAGGACTGGTCACGAGTAGGTTCACTGCAGAGGGGGACAGAGGAGTTAGTGAAGGTCCAGGTATTTAGCAGGATTTGAGTGTGCAGGGCTGTACCTGTTCTGGAGTTGAACTGAGCAGCAGAGGGGGGGGGACCTTGAGGGTCCAGAGGCTGTCGGCAGGCTGAGGGCTAGGCGGAGGCAGAGCTTAATTTGAGTGCAGGCAGATAACAGATTTGAGTTTCCTTCCAGTATCTTCTGAGAGCGGGCAGGCAGGTCTTAGACAGGAATTGTTCTCCAGAGTTCTTTTGAGAACGGACAGGCAGATCACCGGCAGAGAAACTCTTCAGGGTTTCAGGTTTCTGGCAGATTCAATCTAGGAAGCAGAGAGGAGAAAACAGATCAGGTTCAGGTTTTCAGAGAGTCAGAGGTTCAGACAGGCTGGTTGGCTCAGGCTTGCTAACCGTTACTGGCAAACACTCTGGCACTGGAGAGAAGTCCTCCGCCTCCTTAAATACAGATCTCCTGATGAGCAGATGAGCGACAGGTGGTGCAATCAGCTCCGGCTCCAGGAGATCTAGTACGCCCTCTGGTGGAGAAAGTGGACAGACCTCCAGATCCCAACAGTGTAGTGGTCAATCCATTATTTGAAAAGGAAAAGAATATCATTGAACTGCAAACCAGCCAACACATCCACCAAGACTGGCAGACAAGGACACAATTAATCAGAGAAGGAGCTGGGCAATAAACTGGCACTTCACATTTTATTTAAAACAATTCCAATGGAGAAACACGGTAGTGGCAGCTACAAGCTGTGGGTGTGCTGCAGCAGAGATACAACAGGTGGAGATGATGGATGGTGTTAAATATGATGCATAAATAAATAAAATAAAAACAAAAAATTGGTAGAGACTGTAAAACACTTGATCCTGCTGCAGAGGTCGGCCTTCCAGAAGTTAAATAAGGCTACGTTCACACCGCAGCCTGAAGTAACCCAAATCCGATTTTTTTTGCCCACCTGCGACCTGTATCTGATCTTTTCATGCCAGTCTGAACAACACAGATCTGATTTTTTCCAATGCGACCCAGGCCTCTTGGCTATGTGGTCCTGAATCCGATACGAATCTGATCTTTTCAAATGCGACCTGTGTCTGAACGGCCAGGTCGCATTCATTTGACCTGAAAGCCATTAATACCCGACAAAGGTCACTATTCTGCATCTTGCTGTGCAGAAGCAGCAAGAAAAACAAACACCATGGCGGACAATAATGCGGAGAGTACTATTTTTTTTAACCATCTTGAAAAGATTGAGGGTTTTAAGGTTTGGAAAGATAGCTAGATGTGCTCTAGCACTACATCCATGTTTACTTCCGCAAACATAGAGCACGCTGGCTTTTGACGTCATTGCGTCCTCTAGTGTGCATCCAGGACACTTAAGCTGAATGAATGCAGTTCACAAAGGAGATTACATACAAGTCATATATATTTAGAAATGTGAATGGCAAAGCTGAAAGATCAGAATTCACAAAAAAATCGGAATTGAGCATCAAGGCCTGCAGTATGAACGTAGCCTAGACAGCTGTAACAAAACGGTTTACATCAAAGCATATCCTTGTGTTATAATGATTTGGTCAAACTGCAATGCAGTTGAAAAGTGATTGCAAAAATGTGCACTATTGCTATCCTAACTGTGTTCTAAGGAAAAATGGATGCATATTTAATCCTGATGTACAAAACTAGCAAGGACTTGTTTGGAATGGCAGGAAAACATGGTTCTACAAGGTATGGATTTAAAGAGATATTATAAAAAGACACACCACACCTGTGGATTGGATATGATGTCTTTAGTGTCTCTATTAAATCCTATATGCTCCCAAACCTACATTGTAGTCATAGAAATTTGGCAAAATGTCAAGCAATTTATGAGGTAAAGATGTTTTTCCAAATAACTGTATTTAGAATTTAGTGTAATACTAGAAGTTGTTAGACACTGAAACGGCTACTTCAGTTAATGTTTGACTGTCATGGACCTATATACTGATGCATAAAAATGAATCTGTTCTATTTTTGTGCTGCAGGAGGCCCTGTCTTTTTATAAAGAAGCAGTGCAGAAAATGCCAAAACAGTTTGCACCACACAGCCTTTTCAACATGATGGGTGAGTTACATTTAGGTCTGCTGAATCTTTCTGTGCAGTCCATTGGATTATGGAAAATATGTGAAAATGTAAATTAACTACAACAGGGATTTCTGCTTTTAAGTTACTATAGTAGTGCGCTAGAACTTTGATGAGTTTTACATCTTTTCCTTAGGTTTATGCTTTGAAACAGGTAAAAGAGATTGACCTAACTTCCTGTACATAAAAAAAAAAACTTTACCAAACGAGTCAGATTACCAAACAAGTTTTTGAAGACACATTTAGAATTCTTTATTCTTTATTTAAGATTATCTTTTTTAAACCTCACTTTCCCTTTTTTGTTATTCTAGCAATGATTAAATCAGTAAAAGCTCATCCTGATAACATGGCTGAAATCTCAAGGGAATATCAGCATGTAATACTTGGACAGAGTAGAGTAGAATGTAGAAATGTGTTTAGTCAGGTGGTTTGAAGGGTTTAGGGAGCGGCACTATTTGTATTAGTACAATGGTGGCTTGAGGATACGTTTTCATAACTGATGTCACTTAGCTCATCTGTTATTACAGGCAACAAGAACATGTCTTTAGTAGAACCCAACAAACTTTGGGTTTAACGTTGGGTCTCTGTACAAAAAATTCCAATGCTAGAAATGCTGGAGCTTACTTCTTAAATTGTGTAGTATATAGGTGTCTCAGTCAGCATTTGTTTAGCCCTGATACAGATAAGAAGACAATAGAAATGTGGATTATTGTTTCAAGCCTGATGCTTTATGTAAATGTCAACTGTATGGCTATACGTTTTTAAAACAATACAATAGGTTTGTAATGAGGGATTCTAATATTTCAATTAAAAACTGGTTGTGGGAATGGTGACCGCTGTGAAGCATCAGTCAAATGCTTGATGTCCAAAATGTTGTGGTTTATTCACCATCAAAGAAGATCCATACAATATTTGTATACTGGTGGGTTTAAAGCAGATACAGAGTGTGTGTGTGTGGTTCTACAAACAGAAAAAGCAGAAAATAAACCTAATTAGCATTGCCATGTGGCTGGCTGGACATCATAATTACAATTACCAACTATCATCAAAAATATAATAAAAATACACATCTATCTGTAAATAATAATGTCAGTAATTTACTTACATATCCTTGGACGCACACAGAACACAAAAACCAGTGGATGGCGAACTAAACCAAAGATACAAAGCAGATTGTGTCTTCAACTATCCTTCATCTGAACTGCCATCTTAGTATTGAAGGAAATTAACAGAGAACATGACTGGGCAAAAACCCCAGCCGCAATACCTACCCTAACCAGGGGGGGGGAGCTGAGGGGTACTTCTACACACCACACACAAACAACCCCAAAACCCCCAAAGCCCTTATAAGCCGCCCCCAAATAGCAAAGTATATTTTTTATCCTGGAAGGACTCCCATTGAGAGCAGTCTCTGGAAGGCCCTGGCAGTGGGACCAGGGGGCAACGGGCCCTGGTGTAGCTCCGGTCTTGACCTGGTTTCCGCTGCCCCGGATCCTCCCGTCTGCACTCGGGGTGACCTTTCGTTAACCCTACAGCCACGAGACTCTGGGAATTGGGGGCCCACAATCATAGCAAAGCCCCTGGCGAGCGGAGTGGTGTCCCCTGCCATTTTCGTCGTGTCTGGGGGAAATGGCAGGGGGTGTCTTAAAAACTTCCTCCAAACTGGTCAGCCAGACTGGGTTGTCTCCAGCGGCTCGGCTCAGCGCTCAGTTTCCCGGTACAAAACCTGAGGCAAAGAGGGGTCCTGCCCCCCCTCAAGAGCAGTTGGGTGTCATGGATCTGGGTCGCGATGTCACTGGTACAAAACCCCCGTGGTTTCAAATTTGGGAGTAGCCCTCAATTTCAAAAAAGGGGATGTGTGGGGGACCTCTTTTTCACATCTGTACTGGTGGTGGCTACGGGGCCCGACTTGATGGACCTGATCTCTCTCTCCCAGGCCCCCCAAAGTGGGGTGCCTTGGGGGATTAAACTGGAATTCCTGGGTTTTTCCATGGACTGTAGGGCAGGGTGCATTGTTTAAAGGGGTCGTGCAGTTCCCTCTCCCCCCTCTGAAATTGTCCCTGGCCGAAGTAACTCAGAGGTTTCCCTCTGGGGGTGAATCGGCGGAGTGCCATCGAAAGGAACCCTGGTCCAACTAAAAGGGTCTATGTGGACGGCGGGGAAAGGGGCATTTTTTGAATAGTAACCCCCAGCGTTTTCCTGTCGTCGCCTCCCTTTGACAGTAAGGGGGCCCGAAACAAACCCATACCGGGGAGAAAAAGGGTGGTTCAGCAAACCGCAACGTGCAGGGGGAAAAGTTGCCATTTTGGGGTATAACTGGTTTTCCCCTCCATCTCGGCATTCAGTAATGAATGTTGATCCCCGTTTCACGCCTCTCGCCACGGAGGATCCAGTACTTCCGACGTAAATTCAGCAAAGAGGCCTCAGATCCTGGGGGGCGAAAAATCGCACGACCTTTGGATTATGAGCCTGGTGACTGGGGGGGCGGGATCCAGGACGATAGGTGTGCCCTCAGCCTCAAGAGGCGCTGCGCCGCAGTCTTCCTCCAACCCGAATATTGAGCTGTTTGTCATACTCAGGGGCAAGGGCGATGAGCGACTGGTGGAGGGGATGGTTTGCTCTCTGACAGGTGCTTGAGGTCTCGGGAAGCATTCCACCTGATTTTCTCAGAGGTTCTCTCAGCTTTTCGATAGTCCTGGTGTGGAGAGAAGGGCCTTTGCCGTCCCCGTGACGCTCCTGGACCATGTTTCCCATTAACTCTTTAAAACTGCTAACTGGCTTGTGCAGGATAAGGGTGGGGCAGTGGTTTATGGACCACAGAATGTGGTTTTGCGCAACTCTTCACCCTCCAGGGACCCGCTGGGGGTTTGGTTGGCCAGTGTTCGGGGACTGATCGGAATGCTGGGCCGGGCTCCAACGATGTTTTTCCCTGCAAGGTTTCTTGGGCTCTTCCCCGGTTAGTCGTCTGGGGGATTGTTTGAGAGTCCAGTACCCCGGGTTTGGGGCCCTGTTATCTCCGGGATTTCAGCGACTTGGCACCCACAAACACCTTAAATTTGCAGGAGTCTACTGGATCCAAGTCAGGACAGTGGTTGAGTCCGTCCAGAGGTCACCTCATCGGTCTCAGGGTTACTCATGCTGTAGGAGCTTGGCCCCCCCCCTGGGACCTGTAAAGGGCTGCGCCATTTCCCAGCCGGGGCATTGTCTGGGGCGTTTGGGGGCTATCTTGATCGCGTGTCGGGAAAGCTACTTCCACCTTTTTCCCGGGTATTTCTGTACGCAAGTATGTACTGAGCCATAGCTTTCTCAATGCGTCACAGAAATTTGCAGGCTTCGCAGAGCAGAGGGTTGCCCAGAGGGGGGCTTGTATAACAACGAGGTAGGAAATCTCGGGAAAGGGTGTGCGCTCGGTTCCCCAAACTCACCCACCCCTTGAGAGCACCCGTGGAAAGGGGGATCATCCCATTTCTTTCCCTTCCCCCCCATAGGTACTGCACAATGTTTTGGCCGCGGGTAAAGGGTAGGGAAAAATAGTGGATCATAAACCCTTTGCCAGGTGCTGTAGTGTTCCTATGGTAGGAGTAGGGCTTTCTGAAGGTGTATTGTACCCTAGAGTGTCTGACGCACACAGCCAACGAGTCCAAGGGTGAGCTTTTGAGGATCTTCAGGGATTCTGTGGGCCATAGCTCATGCTTCAGATTTGACTCCTTCGGCAGTGGTGATGATTTCCCGGGACATTGCTAGCCCAAAATGGCGCAGACGAAGCCACCTGGGGTTTAAGCGGGGCCCCTGAGTTTGTCAACCAGTGATGGCTTTTCAGTGGAGGGGGACTTTGCAGGTGGTTATCTAATAGAAGCACCGCTCAATGGAAAAACGAACTTCACCCCCTGGTTGCGTGGCCCTGCCACATGCTTCTGCAGTGCATAGTTGAAAGCAGGGGCTGTTTGGGGTTTCCCAAAGGGGAGGACTTCCCATTCATGACATTGGGGGGTACCCCTCCTTTCGATCCCTCCCAAAGAAGCCAGAAAAGGTCTGCCCTCGGGTAACAACCCCCCTGGGGAACTTGCCCTTGATGTCATGCTGAGGGCGATAGCATTTTCCCCGGAATTTAGAGGACACCAAAAGAAGTGGAGGTAAGGGTCGGACCAGGTAGCAGAAACTCTTTTCAGGTTCTGGCCTTTATAGTGTGGAGCATTTTTAAAACAATCCTTTTTTCCCTTGTGCTCACCATTGATGTGGAAAAACCAGGATTGGGTTGACTCGTTACCCCCTCATCTTAAATCTTGACAACATACCCGGTGTTTGAGTTTAAAGATCTCAGCCCCATAGGCGCTGCTTTCTCGGGGGTCTTTAAGCAGAGTCTTTCAGTGTCCTCAGATTGGAGGACAGCTTCTTGGGATTGCGGAGGCAGGGCATATCCTTCACACGTAGCAGGGGTGTGGCGTAGCGAAAGACCCATAACCCTCCCCCCGTACTGTCTTGTGTCAAGCATGTGCACCGCCTCTTGGTCCTGCCTCGACGGTCACCAGCCTTTTACTTTTGTATGGGACCACATCCCTCTCCAAATTCTCCACATGGGGTTGGAGCTGCTCTGAGGGGGAAAGTACGCCAATGTTCAAAAAAAGTTCAGGGGTGGAGTTGTTGCCGAACAACATAGTGGGCCCCTTGGTGACCCAGCCCCGTCTGGGCTTCACAGCCCTGGTCCTCCCGGTGGGGCCCCAAACGGACTGGCTCTTGGGGAAACAGGTGGGAGGTCAGATCCAATGAGGACCATTGGCTGAACTCTATTGCTTTGAGGGCAGGCCTTGAGGTTTGTACGGCGCTGGAGCATCTTAACAGGCTGAGAGTGTTTGCCAAACCCCGAAGGGTTTCATAAAAAGGGTTCTGGATCGGAAGGCTTTTGCGGTTGACCGGCGGTGAAAGTGATGAGACAGAAAAGCCGCAGCACTTTAAGGTCTTGGTGCACTGTTCTAAAAGGGAATCTCTCTGGCTCACCTGTCAGATGTAAGGCCCTTTGTAGCAGCTTGAAAGGGCATTTTTCGCTTGAGCCATCATCAAGTATTGCATAAGTCTCCAAAGCCCTTTTCCCCTGGGTACACACCTTCAACACCTTTAAAAGCACTTGGTGGAGCCTGCCTTACGATTAATAGAGTACTTCGTTGGTCGGGGGCACTCCAAGGGAAAGGGTTTTCCCCAGTGGCTGGTTTTGCGTTGAGGTCTGAAGGGCGTCCAGAGTCTCCTCCCCAGGACTTACACAGCCTTTAGTCGACATTGGGCGCTTTATGGGAAAAGGCACAACGCCAGCACCTTCTGTTGCTCTTGATCCCGGCACTGCGCTGCTCAGTAGGAAGGGGTAAGTAGTACACTGGTTCAAGTAGTGCGGGCTTTGGGACAGTTGGGCATGATGGGAGGATCTTGCTTGCAGGACTGGCGTTAGGATGCTGTCTGGGGACTTCTCAGATGTGGAGTACAGTAGGGGCATAGTGACTTTGAATCCTTTTGTCGCTCTTTTTTTCCCTCTGTGGTCTCTTTCACTTCTTGAACAAGCCTGCCCATACTCTTGGACCCCCTTTAGCTCGAACTTAGCCAGTCGAGAAGTCGAACAAAGTAGGGACTCGAACATTGAAAGATGCACATATTCATGAAAATCAGCACCCGTTCCTGTGGGAGCTTGGGCATCACCTGGTTACATGGACCCACACTTTTGCTCTATATGACCCTCTTCTCCCAGCTTGTCGAGCCCTACCAACCCAAAACTCTCCTCTGGGGCAAACCTCTTGAAGGGGGCGCATCATGCTTCGGTGCTGGTGCCTCCATTAACTCTGCAATGCGCCGTAAAGCAACTGATGGGGTTGCCCATAATCACGGTTAGTGAGGCCAGGTGTCCGTATATGGTTGGGAGGGGTTCAAAAGGAGTTGCTATGAGGAGTGCATCTTAAATTTCAGATGGGCCAGAAGTATTTGGTATTTAAACCTTTCTGTAGCATCTGCGGGAGAAAGGTTTTCAAAATGAGTTTTATCCTATTAAACTCACGGGGGGCCCCCTTTTGTGAAATTGGAATGGGGAGCTTTAGGCCCTCTATAGACACTTTCTCTCTGTCGGTGGGCATAGGCTCCCCCAGGCTAGGGGCATGAATGGGCTTGGGGTCCCGACTGGATGAATGGGTCCGCTTGATTGGACAGTTGCTCTGGCCGGGGGGTGTTTTCTTGAGACACAGATCCCTCGAATACTGCTCAAGTACTCAGCCACCCTTGGGGGGCTCTGGGGCCCTCCCCCTCTTTCTAAGACGGGTGTGCTCTTCCCCGAGAGACACGCAGAGGATTTCTGCCATGATCGGCGTGTCGTCCTTTGCTACAGATGGGGGGGAGGAGGCCATTTCCCCCTCGTCGCTTCACCTTCACAGCTACACCCATGGGGGGAGCAGGGGGCCGTTGGCCTTGGAGGACTGTGAGAGGCTGCGAGGGCCCGCTCACAGGGGCACTGGCGGTATGCGTGCGGTAAATGGGTAACAGGATCTGGCCGTAGAGAGGAGGGAGGAGGAGGCGGGATTGTCTGGCGTTTACTTGTATTGAGTGCCTTTGTTCTCCATTTCAGTGCCTGAAACCTGGGGTTCTTTCCTTAACCTGACGCGCCCTCTTCATAGCAGGGGAGGGGTCTGGTGGTGCTCTATAAACTTGGATCAGGGGTGCTACTTACTGGAGTCCCGAGTACACCGACTCTCTGGGATACTTTGGGCGGCATCATAAATGGGGTCCCGGGTTAGAGAGCAAGATGAAGCAGAGCTGTCTCCACGCCTTCCCACTGTAGGGCTGCTGGGTTAGGGATCATGCGGCTTGGTGCGCTGTAGCGAAGGGGTGTCTATCCTGGGTGGCGTGCACTTCGTAATCATCCATCATGCGGGGGGACGTATCTGAGTGCGGGCGATTATCCGCATTGTAGTTTGTATCTCTCCTCTCATGTGGAAACATTTTAATGTCAAGTGATCACTCTTCCCCGGGTTTTGGCACCAAAAGTAATGAGGGATTCTAAATTTTCAATTAAAAATGGTTGTGGGAATGGTGCCGTGTGAAACATCATCAAATGCTTGATGTCCAAAAAGTTTGGTTTTTCACCATCAAAGAAATCCATACAATATTTGTTTACGGTGGGTTTTTTAAAACAGTAAGGTTTGTGTGGTGGTTCTAAAACAGAAAAAGCGAAAATAAAACCCAATTAGCTTGCCATGTGGCTGGCTGGCATCATAATTACAATTACCAACTATCATCAAAAATATAATAAAAATACACATCTATCTGTAAATAATAATGTCAGTAATTTACTTACATATCCTTGGACGCACACAGAACACAAAAACCAGTGGATGGCGAACTAAACCAAAGATACAAAGCAGATTGTGTCTTCAACTATCCTTCATCTGAACTGCCATCTTAGTATTGAAGGAAATTAACAGAGAACATGACTGGGCAAAAACCCCAGCCTGCAATACCTACCACTAACCAGAGGGGGGAGCTGAGTGGCTACTTCTACACACCACACATCAAACAATCCCAAACCCAAAGTCCTTCAATACAAGGTTTGTAATTGGTCAGCTTTAACTAGCTTAATGACAACGTTCTAGTCACTTGAGTCTTTATGATTATTATCAACAGTAAAATTGCATATTAACACAGTTAGACATCAATATAGGGTACATTTAGCTTGGTAAAGGAAGCTGCTGTAGTATATACAAATATAGGATAGTGCTTAATATTACTTGGATTATTTCCTGCTTCTAAAATTCTACTTTAGACAGATATTCAATTATAACAGACTACTTGCTCTAGCTGATGTCAGAATCCACCTAACCAAGCACTTTGCTTAGGTGTTAGGGAATCGTTTGCATGTTGACACTTTCTTACAAGTGTTACTTTTTCCTTAAACGGTTAAAAACTATGTCTGATTATTAATACTTCATGGTTTTCTACTGAGGGCTTTTTTAGATTTTTTAGGGTCTCCTCTAAGGATTCTTGATTTTTGTTTTTCTGTGGGAGTTATTAATTTGTGTATGCACATTATTTCTGCAAAAAATGTTATGTTTACATAATGAAAGTAAAGTGTTGATTCATGATCTATGATGCTATAGTAATATGACACGTTTCTAACCTATTCTTTAAGATATTAAAAGGTAATGGTTCAGACACCCAACCTTCAGAAAGGTTACACCCCTGCTTTAGAAAGCTAGTGTGAAGCTTTTAATATCATGAAATTAAATTTAAGGCTATTGCTTAGCTGCTCTCTGCACAGCTCCATCGGGACTGTTGGAGCTATATGAAAATAGAGAGCAAAGCTTGTCAGGTGATACAGAACAATTGCATTTCAGCATAAATTATATTGTGAAGGGTGAAAATATTTAGATTTTAAGGATACCCTCATTGGTTAGATCGACAAAATAATGTGCACAGCTTATTATGTGTTTTTTCTTACACAAATATGTCCCTGACTGTTGAAATATTCAGCGTATTAGGCCCTTAGATACTTATCCTTTAAACATACGTACATTGATCAGGAATCCAGGCCAGAAGCTGGGATTGGATTAGGACATCCTTGCATACTAGTTTGGCAATATTTTGCTGTATTTATTAAACTTCTATGTTTTTTGTAGTAGAGATAAAAAAGGTAGAGAACATCAGACGTAGTATAGAACTACCTTTGATGCTATGCAGTTGTATTTAAATATAAACTGATTCATTTGCTTTAAAGAAACCTAGCATTCTTAAACTAGATGTTTTCTTTGCAAATATCCCCACAAGCTTTAGAAGGTGATCGTCATGGCAACATATTATCTTCCCTCCAAAGGCTTGCCTTAGAGTAAACTTTTTGTGAAGCTGTTTGAAACAAATTTGATTCCATCTTTTCAAAAATAATTTCTTTTAGGGATAATTTGTCACTATATATATTTTGTTATTGATATTTATATTATATTAAAAAAGCTGTGATCTTGGATCTGTTTCAGGAGAGGCCTACATGAGGCTGAACAAGCTTGAAGAGGCCGGTTACTGGTACAGAGAGTCCCTCAGATCCAAGCCTGACCATATCCCTGCCCACCTCACCTACGGCAAACTCTTGTCAATCATTGTATGTACCTTTTGAAGATACACAAAGTTTCATACAGATACAGATTAACTAAACATTATGATCATTCCAGTGGTTACCAATACTTACTGTAACTTAAAATGCAGAACTGCTTTGCAACATTTGCAGGATTGCATCTTCAATTTTTCTATGAGTTTAGTTATTTAGTGGTTAGAGCAGTGCGCTTTTGCTATGAGAAGGTTGCAAGTGCCTGGTCTGATCCCCACACTCTGTACTATGGGTCCCTGAGCAAGACCCTTAATCCCACACTGCTCCCTGGGCGCTGCAAAATGGCAACCCACTGCTTCCCAAGGGGATGGGTTAAATGCAGAGGCAAATTTCTCCAGTGTGAAATCCAGAAATGTCAATTTAATTGAATAAGATGCATTCATCTTCAAGTGAAAATTGTTCTGGGTGTGATTTTTAAACTATGTTAGCAGTGGTAAAATCATGCTGTGTGGAAAAAGCACATATGTCCTCTGCTTTTAACTTATCTTCCATTCCGCAGCAACAAAAGCAAATGTGGCGACAGATGTGTTCACAGCTGAGTTAAGTTTAGACTAAGGAATTAAACTGTGTGCCCTTTATGACCCTCTTGAAGATGTTTGACCTCCTTCCTTCCTCAGCCCTAGGTGTCCAGTGAAGACATGACAAACCTCTGAGACTGCTGCATAATTGCAGCTGGAATCTTTCAGACCTGTATCTTATAGTTCCGCTTTTAGTTGAGATCTAAGGATAATGAAACATTGTACTTACATGTGTGTCGCCTGGAGTGGCTTGGCTTTTATTTTTTTTGCACTGGATTACAAAATCCAAAAAGGGCATAAAACACATCCACTTTATCCAGTGACAAAGAACAATTCAGGCTTATCATGGAATGACTTTACTTTTTTATTAAATTTCTGGTTTTGGCTGCCTAATCTCAGTCATTTAATGACACCAGCGGTGAAGGGAAAGGTTTTTGTTTTATATCACCATGTGGTGCAATGCTGTGGGATTCAGACAGACATAGAAATGAGTAGGAGTCTACTTTTGCTGTTACTGTTATCCTCAATTGTATGCCTTGTAAGTACCAACAGAGATTCTGAGAGTCTGAAGCCGATACCCAGGTTTGTGTTTGCCAAGGTCAGAATATTTGTGTGTCCAAGTAGCAAAATATATAAGAGAAATGTATATAATATACATAAGTATATATATATATATATATATATATATATATATATATATATATATATATATATATATATATATATATATATATATATAAACACTACAAAGTGTGGTGAGAGTAGGTCACCATCATTAGGTCAGTAAATTCAAGTATGGTAATTTGATATGATCACCCTTGTAAAAGGGTTACTTAAGTGAAATCCTCTGACCACTAAACATTCCAAAGTCAGCTGTTAGAATCAACAACAGTCTGCAGAGTCAATAGACTTCATGTTAGAAACAAAATTCACATTTTTAATCTTTTTTAACATTTAGCATTTAAAACATGACCCCATGAGCTATTTTAAAAAGTAGCATGATATACTTGGGTGTAAGAGGTATTATCGTGTTGAGTAAATTTTCAATATATCTTAATCTATAATAAATTAAAGAAAGTTAGGCAAAAAAAATTAAAAATAAAATAAACTGCTAGCGTTTAGATAGCACAGTAACTGACAACTCTAAACCAAAAAATGTTTAGTTTTGATTTGTAAGCCACTTGGGGTTTTTAAATTTTGTACAGTTTTCTGGGAGCGTATTCCAAACTGGTGGAGCATAGGAACTAAAAGCAGCTTCTACATGTTTGGTTCTCATTTATGGGAATGTAGAGTAGACCTAAAGTAGAAGAACTGAGAGCTCTGGGCAGTTGATACACGGACAAACAAATCTGCAATGTAATTAGGTGCTAAGCCATTCATTGATTTATTGACAAAAAAGTAATTTTAATTATTTTCTTAGATGACAGTGCCAGTTTAAGGACCTTAAAACCTGGCTGATGTGCTCTACTTTCTTAGTTTTGGTGAGGACACTAGCAGTAGCATTCTAAATCAAACTGCAGCTGTTCGATCCTCTTTTTTAGGAAGACCTACATGGTGAAAACGTCATTGCAGTAATCAATCAATAAGTCCTTTAATCCTGGAAGTGCTCTTAAGGTAAAAGGAGGCTGTCTTTGTTAGAACCTTTGCCTCTGAAGGCTCAGACCCGAGTCCATCACTACACACAGATTTGGAGCCTGATTGATGGTTTCTTTCTGCATTAACCAGAGCTGTAAGCTAACTTTTAAACAATCTTTCTTTAGTCCTAAAACTGTTACTCCAGTTTTTTTTTTAATAAGCTGGATAATTTTTCTACATCATTGCGTCGATTTCTTCTATATACAGCACTTACACAGTGCTTGATGTCACCTGGTGACATTGTAATGTTAGCTGTGTGTTATTTGCATACCGTATTTTCACGACTATAAGGCGCACTTAAACGTCTTTTTTTCCCCTCAAAATGTGCAGTGCGCCCTATGGTGCGGTGCGCCCTATGTGTGTTGTAACTGCGACTTTTGAGACCACCTTATTGAGGAGATGATGAAAGAGTGGCTGAATGTAAGGAGACCAGGTGTTTTTTTTTTCCTCTCATCACCATCGCTGTTAATATGTAACTCCATGCGTGCCCATCTCACAGCTGATGTGAAAAACATGGGGAAACAAATTAACCCTGTGCTCGCTGTTCAACCGCTCGACATCGGTGTGAACCGGACCCAGCAGGTGCAGCAGAAGCAGCGAGTTTACATGCAAAGTCAATGGTTGACGCGCGTATAGGTGCAGCAAAAGGTCCTGCAGCGCGTTTTGAGCAGCAGGAGCGTTTAAGCATCTGCCAATGCGCTGCTGCTGCTCGAGATGGAAAAATTGAAGTTTTGCTGCTGGACGCACCGCATCAACCAATCAGAGAAGCTGATCTGGGAGCTGACAGCGAGACAGACACAGCGCTCTGATGACATATGATATTAACGCAAATGGAAAAGGCTGGATGGATGAGGAGATGATGAAAGCGTAGCTGAGGGAGGTGTAGGCTATGTGAGGAGACCAGGTGGTTTTTTCCACGCATCACCATCGCTGCGTGCCCATCTCACAGCCGATGTGAAAAAAAAGGTGAATCAAAAGGATACTGTGCTCGCCGTTATCCCGGGGGGTCTGACAAAGGAGCTTCAACCGCTCGACATCAGTGTGAAGCGGCCGTTCAAAGTAAGGCTGCGAGCGGCGTGGGAGCGATGGATGACAGACGGAGACCACAGTTTCAGGATAAGTGGAAGGCAGCGCCGGGCAAGTTACGCCACAGTTTGCGGATGGATTGTAGATGGACTAACGTGTCTGCTGGCTCTGTTGTACAAGCTTTTGCAAAAGCCGGCATTATTTCTGAGGAGCTGCGCTGCACGGAAAGTGACTGACAGCGAAGAAGGGGAAATTGGCATGTCTGATTTAGCGCAGCTGTTTTATTCAGAAACAGAGGATGATGACTTTGATGAGTTTGATTAATACTTTGTCATAAATACATGAATAAAGCACAATCATACTCAGTTTTGCTCCCGCTCTATTTTTCTACCTGAAAACTTAATTCAACAGCAGCCTCTGGGCGGGTCTCCTCCTCTTCACCGCGGCGGCTGGCAGGTGTTTTTTCATCTAAATAATCTAAATCTTGCAGCTATATTTGCTGTGATCAGTGGGAATAAAGTAGTTTTAATATGTTTTTAAGTGAGAAAGTCCACCTGAAAACTTAATAATTGCGGTCAGTTCATCCAGATTATCTATTTCTATCGGAGGCGCTCAGACCCCCACATACCAGCGGTGCGCCGACAGGAGAAATCCTTTCATCAGCAGCCTCTAGGCTGGGCAGCCTCCGGGTTCACGCGGTGGATGGCAGGTGTTTTTCATCTAAATAATTTAAACTGCAGGCACCCATAAAAGCGAACATATTCCGTCGGCAGGTTTCAGGATTTTAAGTTAATTTAGGAGTGACCACAGCGCTGTGTCATCTGCGATGTGTCTGTCTCACGGCCAGCTGCCAGGTTTGATTAATACTTTTTAAAAAATACATGAATAAAGCACAGTCATACTCAGTTTTGCCCCTGCTGTATTTTTAAATACGCAGTAGAGGTATTTAAAGGTAGTAGAGGACATGTACCTGTATATAAAAAACGCGCCCTATAGTCCGGTGTGCCTTATGTGTGTGTTAAATACAGAAATGGGACACATAACTGAGACTGCGCCTTTTAGTACGGTGCGCCTTATGGTCGTGAAAATACGGTAGTTATGGTTGTTGTGTATTAAAATCGGAGTTAGTGGGAACATGTAGCTATATTAGGGGCTGTAAGATGGACTGTTTTTTTTTTTTTATGTAGAGTTACATACTCAAACAGACACAAAAAAGGCTCTGTTCTTCAGGTAGGAAGGTAGGAACATGAAAGCTTGTTATAAAAACTTAAAGCTGTTACAGATGGCAAGTTTGGCAAAATCCATAGTAAATCTTGGGGCATAGAGAAAATTAAGGTTTCCATGTCGTAAAGGAAAATATCTTGGTATTTTTGACAACCCAGTATAAACAGCAAAGTATAGCAGTTATAGTATAATACCCTTGCAATAATATAAAAGTAGAAATGCATCCAGGTGTATTTGGTAACTCTAAGTATAAGGGATGAATCACAAAATAGCCTTGATTTGTTATTTTAAAAACTTTCCCTTTCTTTTAACACTCGCCTATAGCCTTTCATCTTCCAAAGATGACTCTCAGTTTTGATAGATGGTTAGAGGAGACATTTAGATGAACCCAAAAAGGAAGGAACAAAGAAATAGGCTACCCAGGCATAATATTCCCCCTTTATTCATTTGGAACAAGTGCAGAAATGGAAAGAACCTAATGAGGCAAAGTTAATGTGAACAGCCCTCTCATTTCTTTTTGAATGGCAATCCCACCACCAATATGGAAGCAATCAGTGTTCAAGCATGAAACAGAAGTTTAAAGTTTTTGTTTTTTTCCATCTGATTTTATATGCTGCTCCACACTCATAAACACACTGACATTCTTCCTGAGTAGTTTTCTACAACGCTTGATTAAAAAGTTGATGGTTTTGTTAGTATGCTGTGATAAGTCATGATAATTTATGATTTAGAAAGTCAACATGATAGAAAATATGGAGAAATATGGAATGTCATATGTATTGTTTTTGCTCCCATCTGCTCCCTAGTCCCTGATTATAACAGTATTGAAATATTAGGTTTGAGTTGTCTATATGTTTCTTTCAGGGGGAGAAGACTGAGGCAGAGAAATATTACTTGAGAGCAATTCAGCTAGATCCAACTAAAGGAAACTGCTACATGCATTATGGTAAGACATTTAAAACATTTATTTTTAGGTACAGTGAACCACTTTTCAAATATTTCTTTTCAAGATTTCACATTAACCATGTTTCCAAAAATACCTGCATAATGTCTCAGTGATTGACATGTTTTTGAAGTTCTTCTAAACATAATATAGCCTACTGGCACAACCTGAAGCTATTCTATGGATTTCTGCTAATAATAACCATTTGTTGATATGATAACATCCAAACCAGCTGCACTTCAATCACTTTTTACTGTATTTACTGTGTGATGGAAGACAGAATCAAACTGAAGAGTAACCCAATAAGATGATGAACAAGTTCCATTTATTAAAATGTTTTTTAGACTTCAACTTCACCTGCTGCCAGGTGATTTCAAATAAATAGATATATTGATCCTTTACCATTCAAGAAATAAATCATACTGCTACCGTGGTTACAACAGGCTATTTGCCAAGACGTTTTGTTATGTATTTATTTAACTGAATATGTATTTCTTTTTTTTTTGGAGTTTCTGCGGCACTAGTGGCTTGTTTTCTCGACAGTAGGCTGACAGGAAAGGGGGTATGTGAGAGGGGGAGAGACATGCTGCAAAGGACCACAGGTCGGGTTCGAACCGCGTTGGCCATGTCCGTGACTAAGGCCTCCGCACATGGGTTGTGCACGCTTGCCACCTGCACGCTATTCCATGTCAAAATTACTATTTCAAACTAAATGACATTCTCCATATCTAGAAAAAAAACATTGTGGATGTCTAGAAATACATTTTTAGATCTCAATATTGATCTGGTCATCATTTATATCATTTTGAATATGAAGAAATGTATTTCAGATATCATAAATACATATTCAGTCAAGCTGATAAATGTCAAAATACCACGTAAAATGTATAAACATTTTTAGATGTATACAATTAATTCTTACTAGTACAATTTAGTTTTTTACATTCAAAAATTCAGTTTCTGCTGCAAAAAGGTAATTTAGAAAATCTGCTATCATAGTTCCCACAGGAATGTCATTTTGAACAGGAAGACTCTTTTTTTAGTGGTCTACAACAATAGAGAATGGGTGGCTTTTGATAAATGTTAAAACGGCCTGCCAAAGCCCGCTTTATATAAACCTACTCGATAACTCGAGCAAGAATCTTCTCCTTCGCCATCTTCCTCTCCTTTGTGGTCATTTTTTCCCTGCATTATAATCTCTAGTTTCAGTAAGGTGAAATTGGCACTTCCTGTTTCCTGTCATCATGGTGATTTGCCAAAATGGGGCTCCACTGATAACGGCTTTTCATACTTGTTATGCACGTGTTTAACTCTGAGTGGAACTACTCAGAGTTGTTTGAAGTAATGCACAGCAGCCGTTGTGAAACCGAAAATTCAGAGTTCCCGACATTAGGCTAGATCAAATTAGAGTTAAGGATTTGAATCCGAGTTTGTTAAACCTGCTTTCTGAAACTGACCTCTGTTACATCTTAATTCCTCACATTTTCCTAACCAAGATACTCTGTTAAAAATTAGAACATAATACTTTTTTATGAATTTATAACGTAAAATTCCTCTCATTGTCTTTCCAAAAATTTGGTGAAAATAATTAATAATAAAAAGTTAAATGTATTAATTATTGAGTCACTAAAACCTATTCTATTCAATTATTATATATGACTGAGGAGCTAATATAGAAACATCATATGTAGGATCTTGTTAAATAGTCAATTTCTCCAAAGGTTAATGGAAGTGGATTTAAAATAAATTTAAAATACCCCACTAGATATGCCCTCTTATTGGCCCTTGTAATGGGACTATATAGTAATCTTTTCTGCAAATGAAAGGAATTAAAACCTTTTTTAATCAGTTTTTGAGTGATTCTAAAAAATATATATATATTTATCAAACAATGGAAAACACAAAATTATAAAAAAAAAAATCAATATTTATTCTTAAATGTCTTTGATTTAATTACTGTAACTGCATATACAGGTGCTGGTCATAAAATTAGAATATCATGAAAAAGTAGATTGATTTCAGTAATTCCATTTAAAAAGTGAAACTTGTATATTATATTCATACATTACATACAAACTCATATATTTCAGATGTTTATTTTGTTTAATTTTGATGATTACAAATGACAACAAATGAAAATCTCAAATTCATCATATCAGAAAATTAGAATATTGTGAAAAGGTTCAAAATTGATGGCCCCTGGTGCCACACTCTAATCAGCTAATTAACTCAAACCACCTGCAAAAGCCTTTAAATGGTCTTTCAGTCTAGTTCTATAGGCTACACAATCATGGGGAAGACTGCTGACTTGACAGTTGTCCAAAAGACGACCATCGACACCTTGCACAAGGAGGGCAAGACACAAAAGGTCATCGCTAAAGAGGCTGGCTGTTCACAGAGCTCAGTGTCCAAGCACATTAATAGAGAGGCGAAGGGAAGGAAAAGATGTGGTCGAAAAAAGTGTACAAGCAAGAGAGATAACCGCACCCTGGAGAGGATTGTGAAACAAAACCCCTTCAAAAATGTGGGGGAGATTCACAGAGTGGACTGCAGCTGGAGTGAGTGCTTCAAGAACCACCACACACAGACGTATGAAAGACATGGGTTTCTGCTGTCGCATTCCTTGTGTCAAGCCACTCTTGAACCACAGACAGCGTCAGAAGCGTCTTGCCTGGGCTAAAGAGAAACAGGACTGGACTGCTGGTGAGTGGTCCAAAGTCATGTTCTCTGATGAAAGTAAATTTTGCATTTCCTTTGGAAATCAAGGTCCCAGAGTCTGGAGGAAAAGAAGAGAGGCACTTCATCCACGTTGCTTGAAGTCCAGTGTAAAGTTTCCACAGTCAGTGATGGTTTGGGGTGCCATGTCATCTGCTGGTGTTGGTCCATTGTGCTTTCTGAGGTCCAGGGTCAACGCAGCCACATACCAGGAAGTTTTAGAGCACTTCATGCTTCCTGCAGCTGACCAACTTTTTGGAGATGCAGATTTCATTTTCCAACAGGACTTGGCACCTGCACACAGTGCCAAAGCTACCAGTACCTGGTTGAAGGACCATGGTATCCCTGTTCTTAATTGGCCAGCAAACTCTCCTGACCTTAACCCCATAGAAAATCTATGGGGTATTGTGAAGAAGAAGATGCAATACACCAGACCCAACAATTCAGAAGAGCTAAAAGCCACTATTAGAGCAACCTGGGCTATCATAACACCTGAGCAGTGCCACAGACTGATCGACTCCATGCCACGCCGCATTGCTGCAGTAATACAGGCCAAAGGAGGCCCAACTAAATACTGAGTGCTGTACATGCTCATACTTTTCATTTTCATACTTTTCAGTTGGCCAACATTTCTATAAATCCTTTGTTTTTATTGGTCTTCAGTAATATTCTAATTTTCTGATATGATGAATTTGAGATTTTCATTTGTTGTCATTTGTAATCATCAAAATTAAACAAAATAAACATCTGAAATATATGAGTTTGTATGTAATGTATGAATATAATATACAAGTTTCACTTTTTAAATGGAATTACTGAAATCAATCTACTTTTTCATGATATTCTAATTTTATGACCAGCACCTGTACAAAGCTGTTTATTGTTGCAGTTTTATTTTTTATTTTTATGAAGTAACATTGCAAAAACAGTGATGGATTCTGCTATTTTCAATGTCAGTTAATAGGCAGAGGTGCAATTATTGATTAAACCCATAGTGTCCCAATGATCCAGTTTTTGCATGCTTAGAACCTGTGAATTCAAACCCTCATGGTGAACTCGACCCATGCATACTTCACTGAGGGGTGTGGGTTGAAGCATTAAAATAAGAAGCAGCATAGTGAGTTTGATAATTGTCAAGTTGTAGTGACTGGAAATCATAAAAATCTGCATGAACATGAAGACTTGAAGTAAAAATTAGGGACTCCAAAAATACTGACAGCAAACTGAAGGCTTAAGTAATGAAGAAAACAGGTGGAAACAATAGGACAATTAGGAGACACAGGTGAAGGCAATCTACTGATTGGAAGGTTTTGGTGAGGGAAAAATTATTAGATATGTGAAAATTCAAGGAAGAAAATAAGAGAACCACTCCAATAATACAGAAATAATGACTAGAGAAAGAAAAGACAAAACCAAATAAAACACTAAGAAACATTAAAGAGCATTAAGCTATAAGACACAGGACAAAAAGTGAACAAACCAAACTGATATGGCAAATCCCAAATAGCAAAAATAACAGAATTTTGCAAGTCATCACAAACCAAATAAAAACCAAAACCTAATTTGCATTTCCTGACACCCTATGAAACATAACACTTTTGGTTAGTCGTTTGTCATCAGCTGTTACAGAACATCTCTTTAGCCAGACTGATTAGATGATTGAACACATTTAGGCTTGAACAATCTTTGTTTCTTGCAATGGACCTATAGCTACAATAAGCCTTAGTTAATTTTAATTAGCTATTTATACAGTATCTGACTATAACATTCATAAAATGTTATGTTTTTTAGAGCCTTTGCCTTATCTGAACACTGATGATTTAAACTTGCATGTGATCCCTCAACTGAAATTGAAAGCTTAATTTTTTTTATTTGCTATATTTACAATAATTGTATATAGAGGGATTTAATTTTTTTTTGTAAATATACTCTGTATCAGTTTATTGACTCATGTTCTATCTTGGGAAATATAAAGGGTGGTATTTTTCTCTTTACTGCAGACTAACTCAAAGTTAATCTACAAGGAGCAGCGATATCCTCTGGCCACCTTTTCCTTGAGGGCCAGCATTGATACTGTAATTGTTGAGATGTCGTTGATAGAATTATATGTGTGTATCTGCATCTCCTTTATAGTTAATAATATCAAGTACTCCAAGTGACTCTTACCTTTGTTGCTGGCAGCGTTTGAAGTTAGAGCTGTCTGACGTTTTGCCAATGGTGCAAACTGGTGCACAGAGACGCTGGGATACAGTAATTACTGTACAATACACACAGAAACGCATTACACTGTGTTGCCTCTTCTGAAGGTGCAGTATTTCATGACAGTTTGAAGAAACAGGCTCCTGGGTGCTCTAAATTAATTTCTCCAGGATATTCATAGGAAATGAAAACCATCCTCCTCTCTTGAAAGCTGTATTGTGCAATGTCCTCTTCTTTGACTTCCTTATCTCGCTGAATTCTTCCTGCTTCTCTCTCTTGTTTGTTATCCTTACATTAAGCTTAGTCTGCAGCAGGCAATATGTTGCTGTCTTTGGACCGAGTTGTTTCCTGTTCTGAAGCCCTTAAACTCATTGCTCTATGTTTTTTTTATCATTATCTCGCAGCCCTATGGTAAAGGTGATGTTTTTTTCAGGCTGTTTTCATTCTTTATCTTCAGTCTGTCCACCGTAGTTATCATGAATTTGTTGGATGAGCCTCAAGTATGAGTGTGTAAGGAGTGATGATATCTGTCCACGGTGTAACACAAGAGATAAATACTCAGGGACATGCATGTGGGAGTGCGCTTGGAGAGGAGGACACTGAATGCTGCAGACAAGGTCCTCTTTCCGGTCATTGTGCTCTGCAGCACATTTTAACGTAAACAGCCCATGAAATGACCCAGTATGTGCTGCTTTCATTCAAACCCAGGGCGAGAAACCTCATCTGAGCCGCTACACATTCCTATCCTTTTACATTTGATAACATCTGTCGTCTGGCTTTACTGATATTTTATGGGCACTTTGTGAGAACCTCACCAGGTGGCAAGACTCCCCAAAGAAAGCACATGAATTACCGCCATCCCATTTTTGTTCTGGAACAACAGTGAACAAAGCATTTATATCCTCGCATTTTCAGCCATGTCCTTGAAAGTTGCCAATCATCTGAGGTCTTTCACCAGAAGCTTCCATCGCTTTAGTTTTACTTTGATATGTAAGTCCCGTTGCACGACAAAGCATTATAAAAAAGAATAATTCAAACCAGGAACTAAAATCTTTTACACAGAATAGCCGTGTGTGACAAAACAATGTATCTGATGTAAAAATATTAAAAACAATATCTTATTGTAATTGTTGAGTTTGCAAAATACATTGTGCATTATGCCCTAAATGACAAACTCTCTTTTTTGGGTGAATATAGCAGTTGGAGACTAGTAATAAAATGTGGTAATTTATAAAACTACCATAACAGTTCTTAATAATTTACAGCTTTGAGCCTTCTTTAAGTTTTTCACTGCTGTGGATCGGTCTGGGACTAATATTTGTTTCCAGTTGCAGAGCTTTATCCCCCTGAACAAAGTAACTATTTGATTAATTAATAAGATCATAGTGATGTTGTAGATCTTGGTTTTATTACTTTTCTGTTTGAAACAGCCACATCCATGTAAACGTTATCTAAAGAGAAGAAGCATTATCAGATGCAATTTACCTAAATGGCACTGGAGCTAAGACTTAATCGAAACAGAGCTAAATACTTTAACTGCACAGAAGTTTGAGCTTAAAAATAAAACTACACAAAGCCAAAAGAGCTGTATGTAACACCAGTGAGTGGCTTGGTAATGTCGCCACAAATGGGAAGATAGAAGAAGAGGAAAGGAGAGAAGGTAATAAAAAATAAATGCAAGAGACAGAAAAGACGTTCATATGTCGACCAAAAAAGTGTACTTTGAATTGAATATCGTGTAAAGTTAAAATTGTATAAAAACAACATCAAAGTTGAAAGGAATAAAACAAATATAATAAAATTGATTAATTGAAACAAATAAAACCAAATAAAAACAATAAAACAAACTACAAATGCAAAAACAGAAAGAGTCTCATGAACAGCCAAAGAATAAAAATAGGTTATAAGACTAGTTTTAAAAATAGACAGTGAAGAGGATTGTCTAATGTGGAGGGGAGCTCATTCCAAAATTTTGGAGCAGCAACTGAAAAAGCTCTGTCTCCTCTGAGCTGCTGTTTGGACCTTGGTACCTCCAGGAACAGGAGATGAGCTGTCCTGAGGCACGAGTAAGAGCAAAGGGGTGAAGAAGCTTAGAGAGGTAGGGAGGGGCCAAGCCATTTAAAGACTTCAAAACATATTGAAAAATCTTAAAATGATCTCTAAAATGCAAGTGGCAATTAATGGAAGGCAGCCAAGATGGGAGTTATGTGCTCCCTCATATGTACTCCAGTTCAAAGGTGTACGGCTGCATTTTGCACCAACTGGAGATGTGCGAGGGAGGACTGGCTCACCCCGAAATAAAGTGTGTTACAGTAGTCCAGCCGAGGTGTAACAAAGGCAGAGATTATGGTTTCAAAATGTTACTGTGCAAGAAAAGGTTTGACATTGGTGAACTGTCTGATATGATAAAAACTGGACTTTACTATAGAGCTGATTTGCTGATCCAATCTAAAATCACTGTCCATCTTAAAACCCAAATTTGAGACGACAGGATTTAAAAAACAGTCAAAAATCTCAAGTCAACATGGGGGATTCACAAAGGTTACTGGGGCCGAACTTTTTCACTTCAGTTTTTTCCTTGTCAAGATATAGAAAGTTCAGAGCCAATCAGGCTTTAATGTCATTAAGGCATACCAGTAGCAGAGCATTCTTTTTAATAGGCACATATATCTGACTATCATCACCATAAACATTATGAGAGTGAACCTGAAACAGATAGGCAAACCTGACATTAGTGTTTGGCATCAGTGTTGAGGGAGTGATATTGATATCTATGTTAGGTTGCAAGTGCAAATCTGCCAGTTTGTTGCATGATAAGTGGTTAGGTCGGTCCAATCGAAGCCACCATGGAGGGTAGCTTTAAAGTTTCCCAATCTTGAAGCAGGTTTTCTATGCAGTTAGCTGGATCGGACCCTTTAACAAACCAAGAAGGTTGTCGGATACAACAAACCCAAAATCGCCTTGACAGGCCTGAAGGTTTCAGATGTTAGGTTTAGCGCAGTATATCTCTAAATACTCTTAAAAAATAACCCATCACCAAGGAAGCATAATCTCAATTTTGAGCAAGATGTAACAGCAAGAAAGAAAAAACAATTGGTCATGTTACGTCTTACTGTTGATCTAGTTCCGCTTAAGGATTGAAAGAAATAATTATAGTATTTTCTCTCTCCAGGTCAGTTCCTTTTGGAGCAGTCGCGTCCTAAAGAAGCTGCACAGATGGCTGAAAAAGCTGCGGAGCTCGACATGGATGAATTTGATGTGGTCTTCAATGCTGCTCACATGCTAAGGTTGGCTTAAAATGCTTGTACTTAAAAAAAGAACGACATCCAAACAGGGCTTTCTCAGCTCCACTACATGTTCATGTTCCTGTTTTGGCATCCCATATTTGCAGGTTGTTGCCAACACCTTCAGTATCTCTGCATTATTTTCCATTACCCTCTTTTAGTACAATTATTTAAATATATAAGTTGTTATATGATGTACATATAAAGATCTAAGCAGTTTAAGTCCATCATAAAGATTTTTTACACCAGGGCTTATAAAGAGAGCCGCTGGAGAATTTTCCTTCGTAAGTCTGGCAAGCATATCAACAATCATCTTATAAATCCTAAAAAGTGCCAAAAGGGACTTACGGTAACACAACCTCCTTCTCCCAGCATCTCCGCAGCTGAATGGAATATTTGAATTATGGACCTCAATTCGTTTTTGCTCTACATATCTGCTGAAGTCATTACTGGCTGCATCACTCTGTGAGCACCAGCACATTTGTAACAAGTTCAAATCTCAGTTCTGGGGTTTGCTTTTGTAAGCGCAGGAATAAATCCAAATGACAGATTAGCCTACCGTGTTCCGACTGACTGGTTGTGTTCAGTGGAGACGCCTTGGAACATCAATCCAAAGCAATTAGAGTTTAATAATGTGACAAGCACCTGTTAACGCTAAAATGAATTGTGAAGATGAGCAGCAAGTCTGGGCTTGTGTAGATTTAATCCACAATTAAAAGATACTTCAAACCAAACAAAAGCTTTATGTTTGAGGGACTTATTTGGATAATAGTTACAAACTCAAGCAATGTAAGAGGCCAGTCAAAACTGGAGAAATGTATTGAAAGAATTTTGTAAAATGCATAAAAAAAAATCTGGTGATTAATAACACCTTATATTTATTCCTACTTAAAATGGCTAAAAGTAAGGTATGATGTATCACTTAATTTACTTTAAATTTAAATATCAGTAGCATTTTAAAGGAGTTTTGTCAAGTTTAAAACTGTTTTCTTTTTTGGTGGGTGCTAATGATTTTTTTCCGCACCATGAAATTTGCATCAGAGGGCGGTTAAAAACATCCTTAAAACTGAAACAGAGCTGGACACTGATGCACAGCAGTGACTGTGAGCACATCACTAAATCCACCAAGTACAGACTGACAATTTATAGCACTCACTGAGGTGCTGTGGGTTGATTTGAAAGGTGCTTTACATCCCTTTAATGTCTTACAACTGAAAAGATGGTCTTCAGATTGATGTTAGATTAATAATATTTAAGTATTTTAGCTAAAGAAGATGACACTAACTGTAGAACATATATTTTAGGGATACATAATGTCATGGTCTTGGTTCTGTTGTGCTTTACTTTGCTCCTTGTTTTCTAGTTTTTTTGGTTTAATTCCTATTTTGTTGTAGTTTCTAGATTTACAGGTGCTGGTCATAAAATCAGAATATCATGAAAAAGTAGATTGATTTCAGTAATTCCATTTAAAAAGTGAAACTTGTATATTATATTCATACATTACATACAAACTCATATATTTCAGATGTTTATTTTGTTTAATTTTGATGATTACAAATGACAACAAATGAAAATCTCAAATTCATCATATCAGAAAATTAGAATATTACTGAAGACCAATAAAAACAAAGGATTTATAGAAATGTTGGCCAACTGAAAAGTATGAACATGAAAAGTATGAGCATGTACAGCACTCAGTATTTAGTTGGGCCTCCTTTGGCCTGTATTACTGCAGCAATGCGGCGTGGCATGGAGTCGATCAGTCTGTGGCACTGCTCAGGTGTTATGATAGCCCAGGTTGCTCTAATAGTGGCTTTTAGCTCTTCTGAATTGTTGGGTCTGGTGTATTGCATCTTCTTCTTCACAATACCCCATAGATTTTCTATGGGGTTAAGGTCAGGAGAGTTTGCTGGCCAATTAAGAACAGGGATACCATGGTCCTTCAACCAGGTACTGGTAGCTTTGGCACTGTGTGCAGGTGCCAAGTCCTGTTGGAAAATGAAATCTGCATCTCCAAAAAGTTGGTCAGCTGCAGGAAGCATGAAGTGCTCTAAAACTTCCTGGTATGTGGCTGCGTTGACCCTGGACCTCAGAAAACACAATGGACCAACACCAGCAGATGACATGGCACCCCAAACCATCACTGACTGTGGAAACTTTACACTGGACTTCAAGCAACGTGGATGAAGTGCCTCTCTTCTTTTCCTCCAGACTCTGGGACCTTGATTTCCAAAGGAAATGCAAAATTTACTTTCATCAGAGAACATGACTTTGGACCACTCACCAGCAGTCCAGTCCTGTTTCTCTTTAGCCCAGGCAAGACGCTTCTGACGCTGTCTGTGGTTCAAGAGTGGCTTGACACAAGGAATGCGACAGCAGAAACCCATGTCTTTCATACGTCTGTGTGTGGTGGTTCTTGAAGCACTCACTCCAGCTGCAGTCCACTCTTTGTGAATCTCCCCCACATTTTTGAATGGGTTTTGTTTCACAATCCTCTCCAGGGTGCGGTTATCTCTCTTGCTTGTACACTTTTTTCGACCACATCTTTTCCTTCCCTTCGCCTCTCTATTAATGTGCTTGGACACTGAGCTCTGTGAACAGCCAGCCTCTTTAGCGATGACCTTTTGTGTCTTGCCCTCCTTGTGCAAGGTGTCGATGGTCGTCTTTTGGACAACTGTCAAGTCAGCAGTCTTCCCCATGATTGTGTAGTCTATAGAACTAGACTGAAAGACCATTTAAAGGCTTTTGCAGGTGGTTTGAGTTAATTAGCTGATTAGAGTGTGGCACCAGGGGCCATCAATTTTGAACCTTTTCACAATATTCAAATTTTCTGATATGATGAATTTGAGATTTTCATTTGTTGTCATTTGTAATCATCAAAATTAAACAAAATAAACATCTGAAATATATGAGTTTGTATGTAATGTATGAATATAATATACAAGTTTCACTTTTTAAATGGAATTACTGAAATCAATCTACTTTTTCATGATATTCTAATTTTATGACCAGCACCTGTATGTTAGTTCTGAGGTTTTTCTGTTGTCCTCTTTTCCCCTCTTGTGTGTGCTCCTTTCCCCTTGGCCTCCTCGTCTCCACTCACACCTGCTCCTTATCCGCTCGTTAACCCTGCCTTTGTCTCAGTCAGCTACATATACTCTCCCTCTGCTGTCACTCTTTGTTGGTTCCTTGTCTTTGCTGTCCTCCCATGCTGTTTTCTTCCTACCTCGTCTCTCCCTCGCTCCTCGTGATTATTTTCCCCTGATGTCTCCATGGTTCTGGTTGGGTTTACATTATTAGTTGTTTTTTTAGATTCCTGCCTTTGTTTACTTTTTTTTCCCCATTAAACTGCAAGAAATCTCCTCAGCCTCCCTGCCTCTGCATTTGGGTCCTCCAACCTCAACCAAAACCATGACACATAATTTAATAAACTGAGGTATATTTTAGTTGTTTGCATGTAAATGAATTATTCTTCCAGAAATACAAAGTAATTGGAGCGAGATTGCACAATGATATGGGAAATTTTTTTTTTTATCAAAACGGTTTAAGTATATGTCTTTATTTGCCATTTTATATCTATTTTTATTTTTTACATCTATTATAACCCCAAACAAAACAAAGGAAAGAAGCTAACATGTAATGAAAACATGAACCTGAGTGAACTCAAAAGGTTCAAAGCCATGATTTACTCATGTCCCCATAAATATGAGTTACCATGTCAGTAAGGATTTTTTTGTACTTTATTAGCTTTGGCAAATAAACGTCTACTTCCATTTTTTTTTCTCTATGTATGGAGTTCATGAACTGTTGGTGACTTATATGTGCAGCTGTAAGGCGGACTCACTGGTGTTCGGAGGTTTTTGGATCCAGTATATTTAATCCGTATAGTTAGTGGATGCTGATCAGCACGGATATGTTTATCCATAGTTTTATTTTATAAGGGATTTTATAATTTCCTTTCATTTTAAAAGTATGCATCTCCCACGAATCCCAATAAAATGCATTAGGGTTTGTATCAATAAGCATGGAATACTTGTGACACGCAGTAGTTCTATTTCAAAACTAATCAGCATTCTTATGCATAACATTTGTTTCAAAGTAGTCATAAATATAGAGCTGAAAGTGTACTGTGCTGCTTCTCTTTTTAAAGGATGATAGAACTTTGACTAACTGCATTTAAATTGCCCATTATAGAGCAGTTAAAGCAAATCTGTGCAACATTTTTCCTTCCTACTCAGGCACTCTACAAATAAGGAACGTTAATGTGGATTGTTTTCCCAAATAAACAATGCATAGATGCTACAAAATGGATTAAAGATTTGTTTGTTGGTTAGGTTTATTTTTTTAACCTGTGTTCCTCTTCCTCCTCAGACAGGCCAACCTAAATGAGGCAGCAGAGCGGCAGTATAAACGCGCAGCAAGCCTCAGACCAGATGTAAGTACCTGGGTCTGTTTGCATTTAATATGGAACTGCTGCACACACACGTCTGCTCTGTAAATTCAATTTACAACACTATGCACTTTTTCCCCCATCAGTCTGACGTTGTGGTCTAACTGTGTTGTTCCAACAAGGCTAAGCAGAAAATAGAAACTGCGTATATCTGCGAGATGGTGTCTGGATGTGCTTTAGCAATCATAACAGCAAAAAAACAGAGTAATGAGTTTAGTGGTTATTGCACCCTCTACATTTAAGTCACGGCTTCGGAGTAAACACTCGATCATCTTAGTGTAGTTAAACAGACGTAGCCTTGGGGGATACCAAGTCTGTTGATGTCAGCAGACATGGCTAAGGAAGTTTGGAGATATTACATCCTGTTTCTGTCTTGTGTACATCAGTCAGTTCAAAGACGAAGGGTGTGTGGCAGTGTGCTGTAGAAGAACCCATTTAAAATCATGGGAACAGGCCTGGAGGGAAGCTTCCTGGAGTGATTTGTTATGCGGTCTGGTTTGCCATTGTGGGCTCTCTGACTTATGCACCTTTAAAGTAAAAAAAAAAAGGGATTTGACCTTCATGTCTCCACCGCATTAACCAGTTTATATTGCTGCATTCTTTGAAGATGTATCTTCAAACCTTCCTTATCAGTAATCCTTTATCCCCACCTTTACTATGAATTAGTTCAAGCAAGCCTTCATCTACATCAGATGTTTCCTAAAAGATTTGTTCCAATATTTCAGTGTTTGAACCTTAAATGTAGATATTTCTTTCAATTTATTTATGTGTGATTGTCATTCAGTCTTTGCTTCTTATCTTACTAATCTTTTGTCCTTTTATTACCATTAAAAGACTCTGTGGCTGGAGGTAAGATATTGCACATGTGTGCAATAAGCAAACAAGTAATGGAACCTTAGGATTTCTTAGCAGGGGTGTGAAAAGAAAGAAGAAAACAGAAATATTGAATGCCAAGAACGATAAGAAACAAGTAGTGTTTAAAGCTGATGGGTGCGTGAGTAAGTACTGCTAGCAGATGGTAGCAGTGTACAACAATACCTATCCGGTATAAAAATTATTTTCAGATTTAAAAAGGAAAAGTAAACACTATCAGGAGGAAAGCTTGGTGTATATTGCTTTATTTTAACATGTATGCTTTGGTCTTAAGTATTCTAAATATATAAATCTATTTTTTGCAGTTTTAAGGTTATTGGAGCCTGAATAAACCCTAATGCAGGATTATTTATTTATCTGTATTAAAACAAGTTGCCATGAAACTTATTGGAACATACCCTGAAATCCCTCTTGTGCATCTCAAGACATGCAGAGCTTCTCTCGTCATTTGTCAGGATAAGAGGGGTTTTTCCTTTGACATTTTTCCCTGCACACCTACTGATTAGTGAGTGACACAGTTTCAAATATCAGCTTAATCCAATAGGTTTCAGGTCATGAAAAATTCAGCAGTTGCTGTATTTGAAGAGAAAAGGTAATGCATGCATATCTGAGAATTTCTTTCCCTATGGAAAATGTATTTACCCAAAAATGTCTCAAACTATTTGACATTTCTGGATATTTATGTCAAGGTTGGACTATTTCCTATTCTGTTAATATTGTATTTATATTGTATTTATGATATGACTATGCACAAAGATTTGGTTTTAAATAGTTTTAGAACTTTTATCACAATTTTATAAGATCACTGAGATGATCAGATGTAGTACAAACTCCCTTATATTTATAAAATCTCTTACAAAACCTACAATAGCCTCAAACTAAGTCCTTAATTATCTTAATTTCAGAAGAGAGCAAAAAACACTTGGATAAAATTGGTGGTACCCCTTGCTTAGTGAAAGAAAAAATCACAATGATCACAAAAAAAACTTGAATATGATAAAAGTAACAATACAAAAAAAAAATCTATGAAAATAAAAAATTAAATTCATACATTGCTTTTCAATCATGCTTTAACAGAATTATAAAAAAAAATAATTCATGAAACAGGGCTTGACAAAACCTAGAAAAGACTATTATGACCAGAGACATGTTAAATCAAGGTGTGTCCACTAATTAGCATCACAGTTATTTACATTCTTGTAATAAATCATTGGGCCTATATGTAAAGGGCTAGAAGTATTCACTATGCTGTTTAGTGATATGGTGTATACCGCACTCAACATGGACCAGAGGAAGGAAAGCAAAGAGTTGTCTCAGAAGATTTGAAAAGAAAATTATAGACAAACATGTTAAAAATTTGAACTATAAGACCATCCCCTAACACCTAATATGTATTGATCTCACAATGGAGAAATTAACTCTCTGCCCATCCCCAAATGACACGGACAATAACAAAAGAGCCCAGGAGAACATTTAGAAATTAAATTTTAACTTTAAGCTCAAGGAACATCAGTTCTATGTTCACAGAATTAAAAATGAAACATATCAAGAAAAGAACACTGTCCCTACTGCTCTACTTCATCTTCATCAGAATACAGATACAATTATTAAAAACCCAAACATCTTAAGACTGCAAAATCAGTTTGCTTTATTGGTTTACTGTTTTATTCTAGTAGGGCTTTTTTATGTCCTTTATTGTCAATAGTTACCCGGTTAATAATTTGCTTTACTAAATTTGCTCAATTAGTTATTGAAGCAGGACAATGATTGCAAACACATTAGAACAAAGTGTTAAAAAAGAAGTAGAAAATCCTATAATATCCAGAGAAAACATGATGTTAAGTTCTACAAAACTGTTTCTCAAAATGTCATGTTGCAAGAAAAAAAAAAACTGGCTTTAAGAAGGAATATAGAAAAGACAGCCAGACTAACTTCTGTGAAGTTCTATATAGTATATAATATTTCAGTGCACAGTTTCCATCCTAATGTTCCAAGGACCAGTCTTCTGCTGTTTACAAAGACAGAGGAATCCACATTTATCTAGATAAGTGCAGATTGTCTCACCTGTGTACATGAGGCTTGTAAGGAACATTAAACAGAACATGAGTTATAAGAGCTTTCATATTTTGCTCAAATCATGTGAGTCGAGAAACAGTTTATGCTTGAAACATTTTTTTACCAGCTTGTTTGTTTCTCTGGGTGTGAAAACAAGGTTTAAGATCAGTCGGTAAAAACAGAATGTAAACCAGTGAAATCAATCCTTGAAAAAAGACCAACTGTCGTGTTTTAGAAAGAAAATGCATGGCTTGGTTGCCAAAATTCTACCCATACATCATGCTGTGAGTGTGCAGGAGCCTGGGAGCAAGGCCAGATTTGTGGGGGTGATGTGTAGACAACTAGAAGATTTGAGTATATTTTATCAGTTACATTTATTAAGGAGTTTGTAGATTCCTTCTGTTTAAAATCTAATGGATTTATTCTGTACCCTGAAAAAAAACGATTAACTGTTGCTTATTTATAAATACTGATTTAATTACTAAGCTCCAGTGCCTTGATAATCTTCTACTGCTGCTTGTGTGATATTTTATATCAGTCAAGACTATGCATCTTTAAATATTTTGAATATAAGTAAATTTCACCACAGCTCAACCTCAACTTTTAATTGCTCCGAAACAAGAATCGCACTTTTTAGGTCTCTTAAAGATGTTGGTGTGATCCAAAAACGTTGAAGCACGTCATGTATTTGTATTTCGCAAAAAGTCTGGCCTGGTTCCAAAAACATGCATCTTTGATAAATGTCTGCGTCTAACATTGAACTGTAGAAGGTCAGGTTTAAAATAGTTTGCCCTAATAAGGGTACCCAGCAGTTCAATCCTGAAACATAACACTTCATGTCACTTATCATTTCTACCTTGTCTCCTGTAATGATTCATGTCTTTTTTTCTTTCACCTCCAGTATCCAGCAGCTCTGATGAACCTTGGTGCTATCCTACACCTCAACGGGAAGCTTCCAGAGGCAGAGGCAAACTATTTGCATGCTCTTCAGCTCAAGCCTGACGATGCCATTACCCAATCCAACCTGCGCAAGCTGTGGAATATCATGGAGCGGCAGGGGCTCCGAACAAAGCAGAAAATAGACCCCTAAAATGAGAGGACTGTTGCGTTCAAGTGCTGCTTGGGTTGCAAAAGATAAACAGAAGGTTTTGTGGCTGTGACATTTAAAGGCAAACGTCTGCATTGCACATGAGTGTCCTTTTGGTGGCTCAGAATTTTATGTTCAAATTTTATGCTCAAATCAATGGGTGTTTTTCTTTTTTGCGATGAATCTGATAAAACTTGCAAAAGGAGACAAAACTAAGAGATGCACCAAGAAGTTGGCTAAGGTCCAACTCTGACAAGCTTTTCCAACCAATAAACAAGGCATAAGTAAACAACGCTGTTTGGACTTGAAGGTGATTTATTGAGGGAAGATAAGAGAGAACAAGATTGTAGATAAAGAGGCAGAGTTCTAAACAGATACAAGAAAGGCTGAAAAAGTTTTATCCATTTCAGGAAATTTAATTGTTATAGAAAATGTTCACAGCCGTTTGAAATCGATCAGTTAAGATCAATGGCTACGATCTCTGAGACAGCTTTTCTCAATCTTTTATCAAGGACTATCTCAGAATATTCCAATAGTTTAGTACCATCATGATAAAGAGACATTTTAGAACAGTAATGCTACAGTAGCTGTGTTCCAACTTGGAGCTGTTGAAATACATGCAATTTTGAGAAAAGGAAAACTGATGGATCGAAACCAGATGGAAAAAATAGTTTAGAAAATACCCTAAAACAAAATAAAGCCAAGCAGTTTTCAACCATACCAATAAAAGTATCTGACTCCTAAAAACATGATTATTTCTACCAAAGTACTTTGCGTTCTTAGTTCATTTGAAGTAAATTTTTTATACATTTCATACAATTTTACAAACGTGTAAATTATTTTTACTCACATTGAGCATATTAATTGAACGCCTTTTAATAAAACATGGATTCTTTAATAACAGTGCAAAAAAAACCGTCTGCTACACATTTCTGACCCAACGAAAAAGGAATATCAAAACAAATTCTAAAATATATGCTGAAAAGCTGCATTTTAGGTTTATATTTTCCTTTTTTCCCGTCTTATAGTGAAGGGGTACATGTATTACTGGCCATAAAGGTTAAAGAAGCACTGTGCGAGGGAATACACAAAAACACTGCTCTCTAATCCTCCCTGAGACGCAACAGTAAGGACATTTAAATTCAGTTATCGTATTAATCTTTTATATGTAAATAAACATTAACTTTTTATAGCAGGAAGGTTAGAAAGAAATGTTTTCATATGCTGCTGAAATCAGCAAAGATTTCTGTCAGAGGATCGAAGGTTTACAATATTTGAAAAGAAAATTCAAACCGGTGCATCTTTAAAAAAACAAATAAAAATCACAGTCACCATAAATACTAAGCTGATTTTCCTTTTATGATAATGTCAAACATGTCTAAACGACTAAGCTGAAGCAATTATGAAATGTGTCATCATATAATTGGTTGGTATTGCTTTTTGTTTTGAGAAGGGAAAGACTGCACACAATGTTTTACACATCTCAGCAGATTTACAAGATGATTGAAAGAAAAAAAAAATCCTAAATGTCTAAAGGGAGCACAGCATGAATGTAGCATTTTGCTACAGGCTTTGTTGCTTTTAGCACAACTGTTTCTGTTGGTTAAATTGCATGATATGTGGCATCATCTGTCTTTTTTTAAATGAAAGAATATTTTTTTAAACTTTTGGTCCTAAATAAATAATGCGAGGAGTGAAGGCATTAAAAGAATGCAAAGGGATTTTTGGTATCTCCCTTCAATAGAAACATTCACAAAGGAACATGATTACATGATTAAATCCACTTTAGGGTTGGAACATTTTTTGCATTTGAGACAGAAAAACTATAACATCTCAATGGTGCCAAAGCTTCTTATTAGTTCTCACAGCTCCTGTGCAGGCAAGATCTGTAAGCACTCATGTTTTATTTGTACTGTCAGACGATGTTTTATACTATGTGATCAAATGGAATTTAATTTATTAATATGTATTATAAATGCCGACTTTGTGCCATATCATCTCACCTTTTTAATGGTCCAAACAGAGTGTAGAACACAACATGACAGTTATTCTAATTTTAATCTCCCTCCCTCTCTGCTCAGGGATATCAGGTTGTGATTCTAGTTTCAGAACTGAAGATCTGTGACACAGAGAGAGACTTTTCACGTGTTAGATGTTTGTTTTTTGTTTTTTTGATGATTGTGATGTTTGATTAAATTATAGAATCTGTCTAGTTGAAACTGTCTGGTGTTTTGTAAAAAAATAAAAAAAACAGCAACAATGAAGGCCTTTCTATAATAAACGTAATGGATTTTTCAAGTGAGTGTTTCCTTCCAGAAAGCAACAAAATGGGTAAAAAGAATAATCTTCACAGGGAGTGGAAATTGATTCTTAAAAGATCTGGAGAAGTGTTGAACTTAATCAGTGTTGTATAGTAAAGAAGTAAAATGCTTTACTACTGTACTTAAGTATATTTTGGAGTACTTTATACTTTCCAAGAGTATAAATTTTTTTGAGAACTTTCACTTTTACTTCACTACATTGCATACTTTTACTCCGATATAGTTTCAATGTTTGGTTTAGTTACTAAGTAACAAAAAAAAAATGAGCGAGAGAAACGCAAGTGTTTTGACCCCACCTACTGACTACAAAGTCTGGTCTTGCCTGGGCTTGTTCATCAACACCAATAGTATACACCTGTTTTGCAAAGCCAGTCTAACTTTACTTATACTTTTCACTACATTACTTGAGTACATCTATTTTTACAGTAATTCTTATACTTAAGTACAAGCCATTTCAGATACTTAAGACTTTTACTCAACTAACATTTCAGTCAGTGACTTGGACTTTTACCAAAGTCATATTTTGGAGAGGTACTCCGAGATTTCAGTACTTTATACAACTCTGAACTTAATTGAAAAGCCTTTCAGGTCTGGATAAGTACAGAAAACCTAATTAGATTCAATTCAGTTTATTTATATAGTGCCAATTCACAACACGTCTCAAGGCACTTTACAGAGACAATTCAACCAGATCATCCAGTCAGATTGGTTCAAAGTTTCTATCTTAGGAAAACCAGTTGATTGCATTGACTCATTGACTCGAAGGCAATCCCTCACACTAAACATGCTTGTGGCGAGGGTGGAGAGGAAAAACTCTCTTTTAACAGGAAGAAACCTCCAGCAGAACCAGACTCAGTGTGAGCGGCCATCTGCTGAGGCTGACTGTGGTTAAAGGAGGCAGAAGCAGACATAGAAAAAGAAGCAGAGATACAAAAGGCAACTGTAAACCAGCTCCCTGCTTCCCAGCTTCCATGTCCAGGAAACACACAGCCAGGTAGACGAGCTTGGAGCCATCTCTAATGTTAGAGGATGAAGATAGCACATCCAGCTAGTCACAGTCAGAGAAACAGGACTACACTGAAAAACAGGCCAAGCTCCAACATTTATAAACAGTGGTGTTATTGGCAGCAGCACAGCTGATAGCAGAGAGCTTAATGTTAGAGATTGAACCAACAAATTCTACAGAGTGGGAGAATAGAGATCAAATGAAGCAGAATGATGTCCTCCAGCAGTCCAAGCCTATAACAGCATAACTATAGAGATAGCTCTGGATATCCTGAGCCACTTTAACTATAAGCAGACTATAACTATAAGCAAAAGTAGACATTTGTTGGAAAAATATTTGTTTTCATTTTTAATTCTATATTTGTGTCTATAAAAGTCTGTCTGTGTGTCTGTCCATTCATGCAGTGGATGTTACAGGTTTCACAGGGTTACCTTTTTACAGATAAATTCACTGGGTTATGACTTACCGCAATAGAAACATCTGGTGAACATTCATGTTAAATGTTTAGAAATCCTGCACTGAACATCATCAGATCAAAGCTGTTATGTAAAAACAGAAATCCAGACTTTAGCTGGGGTTTAATCTCCTTAAATACATGCCATTATTCTGATGCATTTGAGTGTCCCACAAGTGAAAAGTAGGTATATTATTTTACTTAAAAAAAAAACAAAATCCAGCACAAAAATACAATTAAATTTAGCCATAGGGTACTGTGTTAGAATATGTACAATATGTTATTCCACAGGTTGACAAACCCTGAAAGAAGAGGCAAGGCATGTTTATCTGTAAAGGACCATTTGTACATAAGGTAAGTCATGTGCTGGTTTGCTGCAATCTTCGTTAACAGGGGTAAAGAGAGAATTATACTTAATGCAAGCAAAAAAAATTAAAAGAACAAACATAAAATGGAAGCAGCACAGCAAAATACAATAGAAATATAATATGAAAAGAAATAAAGTTAACCAAAAAAATCTTTACACTTGACACGTTTTTGTTAAGTTTTATTTTATCACCATAGATATAGTGGGAAATGCTCCTCAATCTTAGCAAAGCAAATTATGTTGATGATAAATAAGAGTGCACCAAGGAGGACACCTTGTGGAAGCAGCTTTTCTTTATTCAGGTATTTCAATATCAAACTAGTGCAAAATTCCCAAACATTATGAAGTACTAAATACAGTGGGCACATTACCAGACAATCAATACACTTTTCTAGTCTATAAATCAGTGTTTTATTGGAATGCACCACTGAGATAAAGCACAACTAAGACAGAAATATTTGATGTATTGCTGTTAAAACAGAGAAAAAAAAATCCTAACCAATGCAGTCACAGTACTGCTGAGTGTCCTGCAGGTTTTAGAGGTTTCTCTGCTTTAGAACAGTTGATTTTGATGACTGCAGTTCAACAAAAGCTTGTTAATCAACTATCAATGTAAATCAACTGTGCTGGAGCAGGGAAACCTCTAAAACCTGCAGGACAGCGGCCCTTGAGGACCTATGCCTGCACTAAAGAGATACATTTGCTGATAAATGCCTCTTTAATGACTAGCAAGTAATCGGAGGTGAATCCCTAATATTGCCTGATGGATTCTCTTAAGAGTCATTGAAAATCTGCAAATTCATTGCAGGTCAGGAAGGTAAGAGTTTAAAAGACGCAGGTAATTAAAAGTCTGTCAGCCTATCAACTGTAGTAAATAAGGTTCTGAAAATGTTAATGTTCTGTTGAACATTGAGAGAATTAGTTTTTTAATAAGGACTGAAGAAAGTACACCCATCAACCACAGGAACTCTACAAATGTCAATCCCAGTAAAAACTTTAAGGTGACTGATTAAGAAGATTTTCCTTTTGCATTTATAGTGCTTCACCACAAAGCCTCTTTGGACTCCTTTTCAAGTCAGTCAGCACCATGCTCTAGAACACTGAGTGGTCAACCTCTTCTTATATTTCAAACGTTGCAAAAGTCCTTCCTTTTGGACCCCCTTGGACAGAAACCTTTCATTTTAACCAAAACAACTTCTCAGCCTTAGGAGATGTAAATTATGATGAACATTGTTGAAGTCCATACAACTGTTAAAGGTAATTAAAGGTAATTAATTTGCACAGGTTTATTTACAGTACAGCTTTTAGATCCTTTTTCATGAGCTGGTTCTATCTGGCTTGGTACAACAGTGACCTCTTCTGATCATTTTTACAAATTGCAGCTAATTCACTTAAGAACAATTGCTGAGGTATATCAGGCCTTTTCTAAATCTATAACATCAACAAAATAAAGATCTACATTAAAATCTGTTTGTGAAAGTTTGAAGTGATAAGTGTCAATGGCAATTGGCTGCAAATATCTTGATAAATGAAACAAGAACAAATCTTGGTTTGGCTCTGCCACATTTATTGAAGAATTATTTTAAATGTGAAGGAATATGTTGTAATCATAATGTTCGACAGGAATGCATCAATTAATTACTGCTACACTTACTATTCTTTTATTTCTCTTTGGGTTTTATAAAGTATTTTTTAATTCAATTTCATTAAAATCTGTCCTAATATAAATGTTTATGTAATATTAGCTGTATACGAATTTTGAATATAATATAATTATCTATACTTAATGATCAATGACGGAAATAAGAATTGTGTTCAAAGAATAGAGCTAATTAAGTTTATTGGTACTCAATAAGATATTCTGGATATATTTGATTTGGATCAAATATAACAAATAGTTTGGGATGATTAATATCATTGACACAACTGAGGTACTGGTTTTCATCATCTGGCTTTTGCATACTTGATCGTCCAAGTTTAAATTTCCCAACCAAGACTCGGGCAAGAAAAATGGGTTTAGTGTTTCCATTATGCTGCGAAGTCGTGCTGTTGCTGCTGTAACGGCCTGCATATAATGCCTCGACAGCAAAATATATACCTATGGAGAGGAATAAAAAACAAAGATATTTAGATCAGTTTAGCAAATAAGTCTTGTATTACATGATTAATGCATTGGCTGCCTACCATTGCCACATGATCTTCCATTCTTTTTAGGTATCCGTAAATCAAAGTTATACTTGCAAATACTGTCTACATTTTTAGTGTCAGTCCCATGAAAAAGGCGTCTCTCTGGAATCTCAGTAACATTTTGAATCCTCATTAACTGTTTTTTTTTCCTGATGAATACAAGGAGAAAAAATATGTTCAAAACAATGACGAAGAAGTGCACAAGATTAATTTAGATTTTTCTTACCTACAAAAAATTTCCCAGAGGTCCAAATTCTGTATCCTGCTTATAGATACAATGGAACTGCTCAGACGACCCTCATTCGTTGTATAGCTTGCCACCGTCTTATACTCTGGGGTGAGCTTACTCAAAGGGATCAGCTTAGAAACATATAAACTTTTATTAGTCATTAGAAATGTGCATCACAATTACATTTTCCGCATGGGTTGCATGGCCCATACAAAGGGGTGGGCAGCTAGTAGCGCCCAGGGTGCAACATGGAGCTAGGGGTCTTGCTGATGACCCTGGTAATCAATCTGTGTAGTTTGAACTGGGTACCTGCATCCTTGTTCATACACAAACACTCTGCTCTACCCGGCCAGCTGTATTACACACATAATGATAATAATATAACTTTAGTATACCGGTGACCTAAACTAGCAGTCCATGGGAGTGGGGCTTGAACTCAGAACCTCCAGCACCCAAGCACAATGCTCTAACCATTACTCCACAACTTCCTCTCCCCATACAGTTCCATGCTAAAGTATTCTCCCATCATGACTTTAGATATATACACTATATTGCCAAAAGTATTTGCTCACCTGCCTTAACTCACATATGAGCTTAAGTGACATCCCGTTCCTAATCCATAGGGTTCAATATGACGTCGGTCCACCCTTTGCAGCTAGAACAGCTTCAACTCTTCTGGGAAGGCTGTCCACAAGGTTTAGGAGTGTGTTTATGGGAATTTTTGACCATTCTTCCAGAAGCGCATTTGTGAGGTCGCACACTGATGTTGGACGAGAAGGCCTGGCTCTCAGTCTCCGCTCTAATTCATCCCAAAGGTGTTCTATCGGGTTGAGGTCAGGACTCTGTGCAGGCCAGTCAAGTTCATCCACACCAGACTCTGTCATCCATGTCTTTATGGACCTTGCTTTGTGCACTGGTGCACAGTCATGTTGGAAGAGGAAGGGGCCAGCTCCAAACTGTTCCCACAAAGTTGGGAGCATGGAATTGTCCAAAATGTCTTGGTATGCTGAAGCATTCAGAGTTCCTTTCACTGGAACTAAGGGGCCAAGCCCAGCTCCTGAAAAACAACCTCACACCATAATCCCCCCTCCACCAAACTTTACACTTGGCACAATGCAGTCAGACAAGTACCGTTCTCCTGGCAACCGCCAAACCCAGACCCGTCCATCAGATTGCCAGATGGAGAAGCGCGATTTGTCACTCCAGAGAACGCGTCTCCACTGCTCTAGAGTCCAGTGGCGGCGTGCTTTACACCACCGCATCCGACGCTTTGCATTGCACTTGGTGATGTATGGCTTGGATGCAGCTGCTCGACCATGGAAACCCATTCCATGAAGCTCTCTGCGCACTGTTCTTGAGCTAATCTGAAGGCCACATGAAGTTTGGAGGTCTGTAGTGATTGACTCTGCAGAAAGTTGGCGACCTCTTCGCACTATGCGCTTCAGCATCCGCTGACCCCGCTCCGTCAGTTTACGTGGCCTACCACTTCGTGGCTGAGTTGCTGTCGTTCCCAAACACTTCCATTTTCTTATAATACAGCTGACAGTTGACTGTGGAATATTTAGGAGCGAGGAAATTTCACGACTGGATTTGTTGCACAGGTGGCATCCTATCACAGTTCCACGCTGGAATTCACTGAGCTCCTGAGAGCGACCCATTCTTTCACAAATGTTTGTAAAAACAGTCTGCATGCCTAGGTGCTTGAATTTATACACCTGTGGCCATGGAAGTGATTGGAACACCTGATTCCAATAATTTGGATGGGTGAGCAAATACTTTTGGCAATATAGTGTATATTGCACCGATACGAATACCAGTACCGAGCAGGGCCCCAATCCACAATAAAATGGTGGTATCTGTATCGGTGGGTACCAACAAATAGGGCGCCGATACCATTTTGAGAGCCATAAGTTTATTCAACTATTGTCCCCAATTTCAGGTAGGCAATAAAAAGTTCTACTGAATTCACTTTGTATTAGTCTTTTTCCTGGTTCATAAAGGTAGGCAGCAGCTTGACAAAATTAAGATGGCAATTATTTTACATCCAAGTAGTATGCAGTTCTTCATATATACACTATATTGCCAAAAGTATTTGCTCACCTGCCTTGACTCACATATGAGCTTAAGTGACATCCCGTTCCTAATCCATAGGGTTCAATATGACGTCGGTCCACCCTTTGCAGCTAGAACAGCTTCAACTCTTCTGGGAAGGCTGTCCACAAGGTTTAGGAGTGTGTTTATGGGAATTTTTGACCATTCTTCCAGAAGCGCATTTGTGAGGTCGCACACTGATGTTGGACGAGAAGGCCTGGCTCTCAGTCTCCGCTCTAATTCATCCCAAAGGTGTTCTATCGGGTTGAGGTCAGGACTCTGTGCAGGCCAGTCAAGTTCATCCACACCAGACTCTGTCATCCATGTCTTTATGGACCTTGCTTTGTGCACTGGTGCACAGTCATGTTGGAAGAGGAAGGGGCCAGCTCCAAACTGTTCCCACAAAGTTGGGAGCATGGAATTGTCCAAAATGTCTTGGTATGCTGAAGCATTCAGAGTTCCTTTCACTGGAACTAAGGGGCCAAGCCCAGCTCCTGAAAAACAACCTCACACCATAATCCCCCCTCCACCAAACTTTACACTTGGCACAATGCAGTCAGACAAGTACCGTTCTCCTGGCAACCGCCAAACCCAGACCCGTCCATCAGATTGCCAGATGGAGAAGCGCGATTTGTCACTCCAGAGAACGCGTCTCCACTGCTCTAGAGTCCAGTGGCGGCGTGCTTTACACCACCGCATCCGACGCTTTGCATTGCACTTGGTGATGTATGGCTTGGATGCAGCTGCTCGACCATGGAAACCCATTCCATGAAGCTCTCTGCGCACTGTTCTTGAGCTAATCTGAAGGCCACATGAAGTTTGGAGGTCTGTAGTGATTGACTCTGCAGAAAGTTGGCGACCTCTTCGCACTATGCGCGTCAGCATCCGCTGACCCCGCTCCGTCAGTTTACGTGGCCTACCACTTCGTGGCTGAGTTGCTGTCGTTCCCAAACACTTCCATTTTCTTATAATACAGCTGACAGTTGACTGTGGAATATTTAGGAGCGAGGAAATTTCACGACTGGATTTGTTGCACAGGTGGCATCCTATCACAGTTCCACGCTGGAATTCACTGAGCTCCTGAGAGCGACCCATTCTTTCACAAATGTTTGTAAAAACAGTCTGCATGCCTAGGTGCTTGAATTTATACACCTGTGGCCATGGAAGTGATTGGAACACCTGATTCCAATAATTTGGATGGGTGAGCAAATACTTTTGGCAATATAGTGTATGTATACACACACATCAATTTCAAACAGATGGTATCGGCCGGTACTGTACAGCCAAGTAACACAACCTTTATTATTGATTTATGGCAAAACAGAAAACTTTGTAATTCAGCATGTAATATATTCTGAATCTGAACCATAAATGAAAACCAATTCATTTAACCTAAATCATGTCTCCCTGTCTGTTACCTAATGCTCTCAGTCACTGAAGTCTTGTTTGACGCCTATTCAAACATCAGCTGTCTTACTTTGCATTGTAGCTATAGATCCTGTTACCATGTGTACAGTAGGTAAAGTGATAAAGGAAATAAAGGGAAAAAAGTAACAAAAATGAATAGTTTTTTTTTTATGAAACTGATAAAAAAATATATATAAAATAAATTATATAAGGAAGTTAAACTGATGGCCTCAGTCATAGACCACCAGACTTTTATGCTCTTATCTAAAAATGTAAGCAACCTTTATTTGTTTTTTTTCCCCACCTGGTAAGGAACCATAGGATTAAATTGTTCCCAGAAAATAGGTGGTGAACATGAACAGGAACAGCTGTAGGACAGAGCAACATCAGTTAAAGTAATGGTTTCACTTTCACTTTGTAAGAAATCATACTGAACTTGGAGCGCTGTGGTAGACCGGATACACCAACAAATTCACACCATTTCTCAAGATTGTGCCGTTGGATTCTTCTTTGCCTTCCTGTGGTGAGGTCTGTCTGCAGCATTCCTGTACAGAGTTTCAGGTGACTTTGATTGAACTGAAGACTAAAAGAAAGAAAAGAAAACTAAGACTGTGGGCATAGTGATTCAAACATACCTGAAAAATCTATCTTGATTTTGTAGCTCTCTGAATTTAAATAAAAGGAGGATTTTGGATCCATCAGATAATATTTCTCTATGTCCTCACTCCTAACAGGGTTACTGGGCTCATCCTAAGGGAAGGAAACAAAAGTATTACACAACTACAAAATAATAAAGATCTATAGAACACATAAAGGTTTACCTCAAACCTGTGCCACCTGCCACAATCTTCCAGATAATACCAATACCATGGAGTGTCCCAGGTGTCCATATCTTCTACTCCATCTAAAGAAAACATTTTGCTGACTGACTAAGGTTAACAAGAAAAATACCTGCTGTACCTGTCTCTGTGTCACACTAATGACTATTGAATCTGGTCTTTGAGTTTCTGCCTCTTAAACGTAACCACTCCCTCTTAGATGGGCTGGCTTTGCTCAATTAAGAACACAAAGTTAAACCAGGATTTCTATTCGATCCTATTAGATTTAAGTTTTTTTTTTAAAAACTGGATAAGTTTGGAGAAAGAACATGCATGCATTCCAGCTGCTATTATCCCACTGTTAAAAAGATATTAATAATGAAGCAAGCTGATGTAGTTTTGTCAATATCTCTCTTTGTTTCACCTTTTCTCCATTTTTTATTTTATTTTTTGTAATGTCCACATAGCATGAACTATCCCCTACAGAAACTATAATAAAACTATTTACATATGTAAATCCCGCAGGGCACTATGGCGAAAGCGATAGTGCTCCACTTGTGAGAATAAAATCTGTTGGGTTGCAATCTTTATTGCATTAAGACAATTAATATTGCCACATTGCCAGACAGGACAAAAAAAGAAAAAAAAAAAGAAAAATTAACAAATTAAAAATAGAAACCAATTTCTAATTTATTTTGTAACTTTCTTATTTCTGTTATGTTTTTATTTTAGTCTCCTGGTTTGAAACACTTTGTTTCCTTAGTTCATCTGCTGATATCTTTACAGTTATTTTATTGTTGAATCAAATTGAATTGTTTATGAATATTAAATAAAATGCCCTTCAGTCTCCCTCGTTTTGTTAACTTCTTCTTAATTTTGTCCTTTCTACCTTTCCTGAATGCCCCGTTTTCGGTCTTCTTTCTTCCATCCTACCTCTATTCTTTCTTTTCTTATAATTTTCACCCTTCGCTTCAACCTTTGTCTCCTTTTTTTGTCACACCTCCCTTCCATTTTATTTTCTTTTTCCAGATTCACTATTTAAGTTTTATCTTACTTTTTTTTTAAGGTGAACATGAAGAAACGTTAATTATGCAAAGTCGAGTCTGTTAATGTCTAGAAAGTATCTTGGTCTCAAGTCGCCACCAGCAGATTATAAAATATTTCCTGACGATTCTGTGCTGAAAAATTTATTACACTGTGCAACATACACACAGAAACATACAGCTTTCCACAAACCCGACTCTTACACTCAAAGCTATCAGATCTGAACTACAATAACAGCCTTTTTTTCTGAACACAATGGAAGCTAAAATGGTCCATTCTTATACTTGCTGATAGTATCATCTATGCTGAAAGCTCGTAAACAGCCTTTCAAGTAATCCCACAAATTCACATAGCAAAAGCTATATTACAATATTAAGCAACATTACTTACTACAGCGCAAACAGTGCCTCCAGGAAGTATTTATTTTCCTCGAACGTTTTCACAGCTTTTTTTAAATACAACCAGACTTTATATTTTATAGGAATGTAATTTGGTGAAGCAACACAAAGTAGTGAATAAATGTGAATTGGAAAAAAAATAGTTTTCAAATGTTGTTAAAGGTGTGGCATGTATTCATACTTCCAGAGTGATTTGATATTCCTAAATAAGCTTCAGAGAAAGCCGATGCATTCCCCTGATTAGTAAATATTATTAGAAATTCAACTTTAAGTGAAAAAACAGCAGCTTGAGAGAAAAGCAGCACAATAAACAGATCAGGGATAAAGCTTTGGAGTTTTCTTTTTCTTTTTCCAAGCAGGTAGTTTTGAAAATGATTTCCTAAGCTTTAACTTGTTAAGACAGACCTGTTGAATCTTTTTTCAAAAACTCTGGAGGTGCAGCAAATATGCCCGGTGGGTAAATGATAATAATAAGAAAGTGGTTATTAATTGTACTCTTTTATCAAACTAGATTTTATGGAAAATCATGAAAGCCGTTAATTTCTTCCTTAAAGCGGCAACAAAAACCTTCCAGTTAGAGGACAACATAATCCCAAAGAGAGATTAACATTGTTTTGGATAAAAAAAAAAATTCAATTATGTAATAAAATTCAACATAAAAAACTATTGGTGGTGAAACTTTAAAGCTGCTCTCAATTTTAACTCTTTATCCAGTTGGACTCTAGCTAGCAATATCTGGTAGAGGCAACCTAAAGACTTGCAGCTGAAGAAGCTTCTACAGAGCTGAGTACAAATGCATGCCACACCTTTCAGATTTCTAAACCGATGCATACTTCACCACTTTGTGTTGGTTTGTCACTTAAAATGCATTCAATATGTTGACAGTAAAGTGCCAAAATGAGGTTTAAGGTGAACTAATTCTTTTGAGAAATGCACTGTATGTGCCGGCAATACTTTTGATAGATTAATTAGAGTCCAGGTGCAAGGGTAACTGGTTTTCCTCAGGTGCAGTCAGTGATAAGCTCAACCTTTTGGATTTCTAATATGATGTTGACCTTGCAATGACCTAGGCAGCACACTCTTTGTAATAAGACTGAAATTCAATCCTCCAAACCTCAACGATACACAGGAACTGCAGACGAACATAACGTTAGAACTTTGCGTCAAAGTGACACAATTAGAAGTAAAACCTTTCATAGAAAGGGTAACAAGTGCACTGACGAATGGTTTAAACAACAGAGGTAGAAGCTTATTATGAGGAAAGTAATTAGAAGGTCACACTGAAATAGTACAGATGGGTAAGAGGGTCTGGTAGCTGAAAAACACTGGCATGATGTGGTGCACTACATCTTTAAAGTGATGTTTTTCCACAGGCATTGAGATTATTTCCTCCTCACCGTCACTGAGCTACACTCACAGTCAGAGGTTTATATACGCTCATTACTAATGATTGTTTAATCATTAGTTTTAAATTCCTTTTTTCCAGGTTGTTATGATTGTATAACAAACAAATTAAAAACAAAAAAGAATCAGGTGCATAATTTGATAATGTTCTCTATACTTAGACTACTTTTTGACTTAATGACCAATGGGAAGTTGCAGGGAAACCATGTTTTATGTAAATAAAGCTTTAATATAGATCTGATTTAAAGATTAGGAAGGATGGTGTCTTTTTAAATGTGTAGTTTCCATGGCAACAAGTTTTTAAAATTTGCCTACAAGGAATTAATAAGCCTGAAGAATATCTGAACATTTAAAAGCCAAACTGCGTCCAAATCTGAAGCGTTCATCATAAATCCCCAATCATGTGGAATATTCCTTCTTTCTTATGTCCTCAACCTTTTTAAATGAGTACTTGTACCACTGACAATGAATCAGATCATCAGCAGGATGCTTGCAGTCCCAGGCTGCAGCTTTGCTGGTTCTTTTTTACTTTTCCAACCCCCAAATCTATTACATTAAGTTTTAGACTGAGTGGTTAATGTTTAGACAAATTTGGAAATGCTAGCAGGGTAATCTCACCTACATTGGATCTGGAAAGATAAAGTAATCTAACATAAAGTTATCTGCTAATAAGTGGCGTTAGATAACATTTATGTCTATAAAATTAGAGAAAATCCGCAATAAAATAAAATTGATGCACCCAATGTTCGCTTATTAACTTTTTAAAGGTGTATGCTCTATAATCATCCCAACCAGCAAAAAGAAATTTTAAAGTAAAATGAGCAAAAGCGCAGCTAAATTTGGCAAAATAAATGTCAAAAGGACTGCATATAAACCACTGACCACAACCGGAGGTACTCAGTCGTTTGATGGTGCAAAGTAACAACATGTTGAAAACAGACAAAACATGTATTTGGTATTATAATTAGGCAAATGCATGGCACTGTGGATTCAAAAGAAGAGGTGCAGCCAGAATTGAGACAATGCCGTAAATCTCCAAACTGAAGCCACTTTTCGGGTTAACAAGCAAAAGGAAATGATCCAAAATGCTGAACAGATCAGCATTTCATCTCCATTCTCCCTCCCCTCTTTTCATAACTTTCCAAAGGCACTTTGAAAAATCCAATGCTCCAGTTACTCACTGGATGTGGCTCTTAATTTTTTTCCATCTTATTCCAACCAGCTGACTCTGTATGTCAACTCATCGATTTTCCCAGAGTTCAACATCAGTAGAACTCAATTAGATACTCTGGGTAGATCTGATTGCTGTCGAATATAACGTATATCTTTGGGTTCGCCATATCGTCCACACAGCTGTCATAAAAGTTGGTAAAGCTGGCGTCTTTGGAGGGCGGCCTGCAGTACATAGGATGGCCCACTGTGTATTCTCCAACAAGCACTCTGGCAAGGAACATAGTTTTATAGGGCGGCTCATTGGCAAATATAGGGGGAGCGAGTCCGTGCCTCTGTAAGGTGGTGTTGTGTTTCCCGGTCGTGTGGCAGAATTTACTGGAATACTTGGCATCCCGGGCGAAGTAGCTTCCTGTAGAAAGGATAGTTGAACAAAAGGTTAAAATCCAACAAATACCAAAAATGGTTTTTAAGCATCAGTACAAAGGGATGTACCTTTGCCATAAACATCACCATGACTCCCTGTCAGACGCCAGTCAAAGTTAAACGTACAAATAGCTTGTATGTTGCTGTGTCCTGTACCATGAAACAGCATTCGTTCTTCAATATCCAGAGTTCGCTTGACTTTTCGCAACTGTGTTTTCTTCCTTAGGGGAGAAACACAACACAGAGCATAGTGGTATATTTACAGATTCCAAAGATCTAACCGAACTTTGCCTTGATTTGTATTTTATTAACAAACACCAAATTAAGATCTGCTTTATTCCTTTTTTGCCACATTAATCCAGAATCTGCTTCTGACTCTAACACAATTAGGGCTGGGTATTTTCGCCAAAGTCCTGAATCGATTAGATTTTGATTCATACAGTTCTTAATCGATTAATTTCGAGTCGATCTGTTTTTACAATAATGAAAGTGGTTCAACTGTGTTTCAAAATACTCATGTATTTTGTTTTTTCCTGTCACATTAAACACAAAGTGCAAACTTGTTTGTGAAAAGTGAAAAAGTGAAGCCTCACTCGAGCAAGCAGACGTGACACAGCAGACATGCATGAGCTGCATTATCTCCACTGCACAAACCATATTTGCAGCATTGTCTGTAACAACTACAGGGTGTTTTCTGGTCAGCCCCCATTTGTTAAAGTCTTCAGTCAACCTATTGGGTATATTTGCAGCTGTCTGGCTTGAAGTCATCTTGAGTGCATCTTTCCTGCTTATTGAATGTGAACGTCACGCAGGTCACTATAAAATGAATCGATCTCATTCCCTAGACATCGATTTTGCAAAAATGTAAAGGAATCGATTCAAAATCGATTAAATTGATCTTTTTTACCCAGCCCTAAGCACAATGTATTGTTGTTTTCTGTTAGACCCTACATTGCCTTAAAATCTGCAGTCTTCGAAACTAAAGATAACATTGAGGAATTGAGGAATAACTTGAAAAATGTACCCTAAACACCAGATTACCTGCAGAAGAATTCCCATAGGTCCAAATTCTGAATCCTCTGGATGGATTTTATGGGATGATCCATCGTCCTCTCATACAGTCTGGCTAC